GCAGCAGAACAAAGCCACAGAGCGAAAGAGATGGAGAGAGGGAGAGAGCAAGGGCGTGTTCGAGTGAGACAGCGCGAGAGTTGCTGCAAAAACTGTCAAGCAATAACAACAAAACAAAAAAAGACAAAAGAAAAGAAACGAAAAGCAAAACAAGCAAAAAAAAAATATGATTAATTTGAGAACTTTGCAATGCAGCTTAAACACCCTAACAAAAAGGATTTATGTATTTATAATAACTAAGAGATGTTGGAATCGTTGCCATTTCGGCTAGACATCTTGTCAGTGTTGACAATTCAGACATTTTCCAGCCAAATTCGGCTAAGCTTAGCGGTTTTTTAAAATTTTTATTTAAACTATGGAAAAACTGGCCAGCCTCTATGAAGAGCTCACGATATGATCGCGAAATAACATGATCTTAACAACTTTTGGGCAATTGTTAACCAAAAACACACGTGCATCGCTGCAAATTTCACTACGGCTCATGCCAAATGCCCCGACTAAGTCATGCGTATTTCACATATTGCTCATTGTTCAAATCAAAGGCAAATGCAATTAGGCAATGAACCGCACACACACACACACACACCCTCATCCTTAACGAAGCATCTGCAAGGAATGCGCCTGGAGGAGGGGGTGTGCTGCCTGCGGGGGGTGCAGCCGTTCGGTGTGAGTCGAAAGTATGCGTAAAGTGCGTTATGTTTGGATTTTGCTTTTGCTTATTTCAAGGGCAGCTGTTGTTGTGTTGCCAGCTGCACTTGATGGCCAAACTGAGAGGCGGACAAAGTAAGAGGGGGGAGGGGGCGTGTACATACACAAACACATGCATGTACGCTACGTATAGAGCATGTGTAAGCAGCAGCGCATAAAGTGAACGCTCCTTGGAGTGAACTATTCAAAGTCAAGTGAGAGAAACTCCACTGATTTGTTTTTTTTTTTTTTAAACCTAAAAGCTTAGTTAATAATAGTATTGAAAATACAGCAATAAAAGCATGGCTAATAGTCATAAAATAAAATAAAATGTTGCAAAAATTAAGAAAAAATAAAAAATAGGTAAAACTGTTTGTTACACAGCAAACATATATGTGTTTACTGTACTATTTGCCCTGGCAGCACAAATACTGGATTCAATAAAGCTTTAACTGTTCGCGAACAAATTTCAATAACTGAAAAATCGAATCGAAATATATATATATATATATATGTTATAATAAAAATAAATTGAAAGAAGCACAATTAATACGAGTTTTAGCCAAATGTTATTTCTATGCCAGTTTCCACTGTGGAGCGAACACTGTATATGCTCAATGTGTAAGGCTTGTGTTTCAATATATGTAGAGTTCACTGTACGGCTTGTACATTATTGTCTTGAGCAGACTGTCGTCTCGCGACAAAGGGGCTTCCAGCAATGCGTTAAGTAGGAATGATGTGTGTATGTGTGTGTCGGTGTGTGTGTGTGTGTGTGTGTGTGTGTGTGTGTGTGTGTGTGTGTGTGTGTGTGTATACCTGATTTCCGGCGCACAACGGAAGCATTCGATTGCCAGTCCGTTGATACGCAAACGGTTGACAATGCAACCCATAGCCAAGTCTCAGACGCTGCCGTTGCCAATGGCCACAAAAATGTATATATGTATATGTATATGTACATGTATGTATGTAAAAAGAAGAAGCATAAACGTGACTCAGAGAGGGGTGCGACAGGTACGGGGTGGTAGCTGGCATTTATTGTCTGTTTTGCTGGCTGGAATACAAATTGCTAATTGCGCTGGCTAAATGCAAATCCTGATGGAGAATTATTGATTTGCCAGCAGCGCAGTTGCGCCGGCGGCAGGGGTTGGCGCGTGCAGCAGCAGCAGCTGGTAGGGGGGAGGGGGTGTCAGTCAGTCAGTCGTCGCATAGAGCACACGCCCCAGCGCATCAGGCTGTCGCTGAGATGGGCGTTGGGCACAACAGATACACACCGGAATTTTCGTGCGTTTTTCCCTGTAAGGAACAAAGGAAAAATATGCGTGGCGCATTCTGCAACTTTTTTATTTTGTACAAAAAAAAAATGGCAGACTAAAAAAAAAACAGCCAAATGCGCATCACTGGAAATGCGCTGGATCGAAGCTAAGCAGAGCAATAAACAGTTAATAAAGTGCGAATGGCAACAACAACAAACATAAGAGCAAGAGCAAGAGCAGCCATCAAATTGATTGACAGAAACAGTTACGAATTGATATACATACATATGTACATACATATATGTATGTGTGTGTCCATTAAAGAAGTCAAAGGGGTGCGTGCTATGTCTGTTAGCTTTTGACAGTTGGTTTATCAGTTTGATTCGAGACCAAACAAGCCAAAGAAGAGGTTTACAGGTAATCATCATTCATCTGGCAACATTGTGCGTGGCCCCAGAGAACGCACAAAACCAAACTAAGAGAGAGAGAGAGCGAGAGAGCGAGCGAGCGCACGCAAAAGAGAGGCTGCCACTGTGAATGCCAATGTCAAGGCAATTAGCCAAAAGCCGGTTGGAAAAATCAACAACGAGGCGCTGCAAAAACAATGCCAACAGAAAAGTAGCAGCAGCAGCAGCAGCAGAGGAGGAGAAAAATCGTAAAACAAGGCAAGCGCAAAATAAAAAGCTATGAAATGGAGCTTAAGTCACAGAGCTGGCAGAGCGACTGTGACGTCGGCTGCCATAGATTTTATGACTTGCAAGAGGTGCGCGATGGCGTGCAGTCTGTTGAAGGGGGGGAGGGATGTGGGGAGGGGTGTGGGGATGCACAAAGCGAAGATGTTTGCTTGGCACTGCGGTTACACCTGGAACTGGAGCACGTCAAGTGAGAGAGGTACAAAAAAAATGTGTCCATGTGTGTCTGTGTGTGTGTGTGTGTGTTGAAAAGAAGAAGCAGGTCCGATTGCATTTGGAGCCATGTTTGGGCAAGGCACGTTGAAAGGAATTCACTTACTTTCTTTGTTGCTCACTGAGCCTCGCTTGTTGTCGTTGTTGTTGTTGTTATTGTTGTTGCTATTGTTGTAACTGTTGTCACTGGGGCTGCTGCTTTAATTACCGTTTTAAATGGCAGTTTTGCTTATTATCCTTTGCCCGCGCGCGTTTGCTCTCTATATCTCCCTCTACTCTCGCTCTGTCTGTCTGTCTCTTTACACCGATGCGTTTTGGTCTGCTTTGGTTAGCTTTAGTTTTAGTCGCCGTCGCTTTTCGTCTTTTTCTATTTGCGCTCCTCTGCTTTTGCCGGTGTTTCTACTACGCCTTCGCCTGTCACTGTGTGCGTGCGTTTGCCTGTACGTGTGCGTGTGCGTGTGTGTGCCTGTATTTGTATCGTCTCGTTTGCGTCTGTGTGTGTTCGTGTGCGTGTGTGTAAGTCTGTTACACCCTTCACTTCCAATTCGAATTTAGTTAGGTAGACGAACAAAGTAACTTTGGCCTCAGTTCAAGTTCACTCACAATAAAAAATCAGAAAAAAAAATATGTATACGTAAACAAATCACAGGCAACAATTATCGAAATGTTTTTTTTTTTTTTTGATTGCTTTTTCTCAGGTATTATTTGTTTACGGCAGCTTTATGCTTTTGCTTGCTGGCGCCTATTCACATTCGTATGCGTGCGTGTGTATGTGTATGTGTTTGGTATGGCAAAAGGATTTTTCACGATTTCAAATTGGCTAACAGACGCATGCGCGCACAATAGGACCACAAGATTCGTTTGAAGAACACAACCGCTCACGACCTGCTCTCGAATTGGAATGAAAACCCGTTGCAGAGCCATATACAATTTAAATCCAACCGCTTAATAACAGTCTGTAATTGCGCTGTTAAATGCATCAGACTGTTAACGCGATTGCGAGCAACGTTAACATAATCTGATGCCGCAAGAAACTAGCAAATGGAGACTTAAATGTAAAGCGAAGCAAGAGGAGCAATTTTATTGAAATTTGTAGAAATTTAACTGAATCACAACATTCGTTCAACTCACATGATACTGTTCGCATTACATTTCCTAATACTAACCACTGTTAAACTTAACATGCTGATTCTTTGCTTCAAGCAACAGTTAGTTAACATAATGCAAAGTTAACCAAAACCCAGTCCAAGTCCAAGTCTTGCCAACTCGGCGAAAGTGCTGTTAGGACTGTTGTATTTTTTAAATGTAACGGTAAATGGGCAAAGGAAATGCGCATAACTTGAACTTGACGAATTGCCGCTAGATCGCAGCCGCCACGCAATTTGATTTACAGCTATCCCAAAACCAACAGCAACAGCAACAACAACAGCAACAGCAGCTGCCCAACTGCAACCGACTGGCGCCATGCTCTGTTAATTTTTAAAATGCGCGCATGCATCTTCTTCTGGCTGCACTCGGCATTCGCCTTATTGCTTTTCATTACATTTAGCACGTTACATTTTCGGACTGCACTTAACCGAACGTTAATGAGAGTGTGCACTGCAAAAAAATGCAAAAAGAAAAAAATGGCCAGCCAGCTGCCGATTTCACCGTCAGTTGTGCACGTCTCGGCAAATGCAAGAGCAAGCGTACCAAATCCTTAAAGAAACAAACCATTAATATTTATAATGGCCCCCCCATACACACACACACGCGCGCACACATCGTGTGTGCTTGACTGTAAATAGTTTACAGTTGTTAATCGTTGCATATTTCTTCTTTTTTTTTTGCCAGTTTTTTTTTTGTGCATTGCATGCCTTATGATTTTCTGCAATTTTAAACAAGACAATTATGAGCCGCAAACTATGCTTGGCACGCGGGGCCGCCAAAAAAAACACACACACACACAAAGCAATTAATGATTAGAAAGAAAAAAGTCCAAAGAGCTGCTCAGCAACTGTTATTGGTTCGAATCAGTATTGTAACAGAGTTGTCAACAGCTAACAAATTGTCACACCAGTTGGCAGCACTGTCGTTCACAGTGGCCAACAGCTGATGCACAGCAGGCAGTCAAGTTGACAGCTTGGTCACAGAACCGAACCAGAACAACGCGAAACAAAATCGAAACGATATAATGCTCAGTTAATTTAAATTTAAGTACTTTCGAGAGCAACATTTTTTTTTTGGAATTGTGTGCGGTGCGGTGCTTGCAAACGCCATTTTCAACGTTTCAACGTTACGTCTCAATACGCGACCGCATTTCACATGCTACCCTTTCTCTAGTTTCATTCAACAAAACAATTTGATTCCGGATAGCCGCCAGCAGCCCGCAAGAGAGCCAAACAAAATTTCGCCCTATTGGACAACAATTTTTTTTTGTTTTGTTTTATATATTGTTTTTGTTTTTTTTTTTTTGCAATTTTGTGTTTTGTTCATCCTTTGCGGATACGTGTTGGACGTCGAGAAGGCTGTGAAGATGGCGCGTGCATTACAATAAAACAGATTACAAAAACAAGAAACTTAAGAAAGACAAAAAATTGCACAAGAAACGCTCAAATCAACTGACTGTGGGGGGAGGGGCTGTCGGTCGCCTATAGCCGCAGCTAGCCAATACTCAAACCCAAATACCCAGCATTCAACAAAGCCAAGCAGCAGCAGCAACAACAACAGCGAACGTCGCGACACAACAACAACAACAACAACAAAATAGTTCTTAACAGCCGTCGCTTGTTGTCTCGCTCACTCTCTTGCCTTCGCACGACTGTGATTTGGCGGGGGTGTTGGGCAGCGCGTGCTCAAACAAAAACAGTAAACAAGAACAACAACAAGAACAAGAACAACAACACCACAACATAACATTTCCGCATTTGAAATATCAACAACAAGAATTCTACATAGAACACGTTTAGGCCGTGGCTGCCACCGTGTGAACAACAACAGCAGCACGACCACCACCAACAGAGGAGAGCAGCAACAATAACATAGCCAAGGACACGTACTTTAAACGTATGTGCAGCACACACACGCGACAACCAAATGGATGTCCTGGAACTGCTCCGTGCGAGCGCCAACGGCTGTTACAATACATTATTCTCCGATGCCTGGTTTCAATATGTCTCCAAACAAATCGCGACCACGGTAAGTGCCAATATTAATACAAATACAATGTCATACACACACACACATGCACGCACACGCACACAGAAAGCACACGTGCACAGCTTGGCTTCTCTTTGTCTGGACGGGGGCTCGTCGTGACTCATGTACAAAGTGCACTGTTAAGTTGCGGGCAGGATAACATGTCAACGGTTGGTGTCTGAGATAAGCGACGATCGTGGAGCAGCAGCAGCAGCTGCTGCTGCTGCTGTTACTATTGCTGTTGTTGGAATTGTCTTATTTTCGTCTCTTTTACCACACGCGCGCAAGCATATACAAATATATGCATGCTTGTGTGTGTGTGTGCGTTTGGCATTTCGATTTGCGCACACTTCCGTCAACATAAGACGATCGCTCGCTGTGTTTTGATTCGCAGACAAAAGCTGCCAACTTACATAAACATGCTAAGAGAAAATACATACACACAGTTACAGTTATTTTGAATTAGTTATCATTTCCTTTTTTTTTTTGATTTATAAACTTTGAACGTATTTATATCTGTCTTAATCTTATAAAAGTAACAAATGTTCATAGATATGTGCCCATGTGTGTTTTGTAGGCACGTATGTATGTATGCATGTATGTATGTATGTATGTATGTGTTATCGTTGGGCATAGTGATAATAGCTTAAGGCCTGACCCCGAAAACGCATCAGCAGTGCTTAGACCATAACTGATTACGCTGATTAGACAGCCAATGGCAGTTGGCAATGGCAATTGGGTTTAGTTGGGTAAATCAAATGAATCGGCCAAATAGAACAATAACAAAGCACGTGCAGCAGCGGCGGCGGCAGCGGCAGCGGCAGCGACGCACCCGCCCCCAAAAGACCAAAATCAGTTTGCCATAATTCAATTAACCCCTTGGGGCCAAATCAATTGAAAGCCGTCTTGTGACTTGTTGCCAAGCGTTGATCCAAGACACGAACAAAACGAGTCAAGGCTGCCCGACTGGCAGTTACTCTATATCCAGCTGTGCTACATATGTATGTGCATATACGCATATACATAAATATATTCAACACTCTGGAAAGTATACTCTATAAAATGCAGTTATTTTTCTTATCGGAGATTATTAAAAACGTTGGCTAAATAACGCTATTTATCGAAGTGCGTATACCCTTTTCTGTACATTTAATAACGGTTGCAGGGTATTCCACAATTCAGAAATCATCGCAGGTGCGTGCGAATACTAGCATACAAACACACATACATATGTACATACATGCATGCAGACAGACACACATGCACATGCACATGCATGCTGCTTAGTGGATTTATTTTTGTGCCTAGTCATACTTAGAAATCGAAGTAATATGGAAAATTGTGTTATCGTGACGCCGTTAGACGGCGCAGCAGCGCTGCCAATTAGCTGGAAATGAGACATCGGCAATATCAATCGTTGTTTTTTTTTGTTGTGCCTTTTATTGCGTGTGCGTTTTCAATTTGAATTTGTTGTGGCGCTGCCGTCACTGTTTTGATTTTATATTTGCCGCATTCGCTGAAACCTGTTACAGAAATAAACCATAAGCGAATTGCAAGAACAACAACAAACAGCAACTGCAGCCGCGCGCTGCAGCGACAGCGAATGTCAAAAACAAAGCAAATGAGAATTCAAATGCGGAAGGGGGTTAGCGTGCATAACAACAACAAGTGTTGGCAGCGACGCGTCAACGATTAACATTGCAAAATGTATTTTGATTGAGACGCAAATTAGTGGGAGCGCAAGAGAGCAAGAGAGCCACACAGCAAGAGAGCGAGAGCGCACGTATGAGTGTGAGTAAGACTTTTAAGTGTGCCCACTCATATGCATAAGCATTACAGTTCTTTTTTTTCTTTAACGATTTGCATGAAAAGAGAGAGAGGGAGAGCGAGCGAGAGAGCGCGAGAGGGGAGCAGTTTCTAATCAAAGTATTTGAAGTTTGTAATGCAATATGTAACGCATAAAGCAGAGCATCTCTGACGGCATTCTAAACTTATCTTAAGATAGAAAAACTATGTGCCATACATATGGCAAATGATATCTCGATATCACACTATTAAGTTCCATGTGTCCGTGTAAACTGACGAGTGCAGCAGAGCATTTAGTCGTCGGCACCGCCGAATATACTTTTCTCTTATTGTTGATTATCCTCAACCACTGTTATCGTTATCGATATCCGCTTGCAGATGTACTGGTACGGCGCGCTGCTTGTTATCGGCGTGCTATTCATCGCCTGGTTCCTGTACTTTAAGCGCCTGGCACGGCTGCGCCTGCGCGACGAGATTGCCCGATCGCTGAGCGCGGTGACGTCATCGGGCGGCGATCATCGCGGCCTGCGCTTCCGCAAGAGGGACAAGATGCTCTTCTATGGCCGCCGGATGCTGCGCAAAATGAAGAACGTCAGCGGCCAGATGTACAGCAGCGGCAAGGGCTATAAGCGGCGGGCGGTGATGCGTTTCGCGCGCCGCATCCTGCAGCTGCAGCGCGAGAACAGGCCGCTGGAAATGAAGACAGTGGAGCCGCCGGCCGAATATCTGGAGGAGACCATCGAGGGCAGCGATCGCGTGCCGCCGGATGCACTCTATATGCTCCAGAGCATACGCATCTTTGGCCATTTCGAGAAGCCCATCTTTCTAAAGCTCTGCAAGCATACACAGCTCCTGCAGCTGATGGCCGGCGATTATCTATTCAAGATCACCGATCCCGATGACAGCGTCTACATTGTCCAGTCGGGCATGATCAATGTATACATTTGCAATGCCGATGGCAGCACCCTCTCCCTAAAAACGGTGCGCAAGGGTGAATCTGTGACGTCGCTGCTCAGCTTCATCGATGTGCTCTCCGGCAATTCCAGCTACTACAAGACCGTCACGGCCAAGGCCATGGAGAAGTCTGTCGTCATACGGCTGCCCATGCAGGTGAGTTGCAGTGGGCAGAGATTGAAACGTTCGCCAAATATTAACATACCAATTTTGTTGTTGCTGCTGCTGCTGATCCACAGGCCTTCGAGGAGGTGTTCGAGGAGAATCCGGATGTGATGATACGTGTAATACAGGTGATCATGATACGGCTGCAGCGCGTCCTCTTCACGGCGCTGCGCAACTATTTGGGTCTCAATGCGGAGCTCGTACAGAATCATATGCGGACCAAGGGCAGCAGTGTGGTTCCTAATGCGGTCGGGGGCGCGGTGCTCGCCCAGGCATCACAGGCATCCCGTCCGGCGGCACGGGCGCCAACATCGCCGAACTCGCGCTTGTCGCGCGAGGAGCACACACTCTCCGATCCGGATCCGAATCCGAATGCGAATGCCCTGCTCTTTGCCGAGGTGCACGGCGATGCGCCGTACATTGATCTCTACCATCATCAGCAGCAGCAGTCGAGCGCCGTCTCCGTCAACCAGGCGGGCACGCGACGCAGCTCGACCACGTACGGACCGAGTGGTGAATCGCCCAATGGCAATGCCAACACTGCGGCCGGCACATCCATTGATCAGCGTCTGGTGCAGTCATCTGCCGTGGACAGTCTGCGCCGTGAGCTGGGCCTCAGCGAGGATGATGCCCAGATCATTGAGCCGTTTGTTGAGGTGCGCGAACTGGAGCCGAATGTCACACTCATCACCGAGGGCAATGCGGAGGATGTTTGCGTCTGGTTTGTAATGACCGGCACATTGGCCGTCTATCAGAGCAATGCGGATGCAACGCGTGCCACCAAACAGGACAGCAAGAACGATGTGCTCATCCACTTTGTGCATCCCGGCGAAATAGTCGGCGGCCTGGCGATGCTCACCGGCGAGGCGAGCGCCTACACGATCCGTGCGCGGAGCAATAGTCGCGTGGCCTACATACGACGCGCCGCCATCTATCAGTGAGTTAGAACCATCCGAATCCATCTATTTTCCACCCGTTTGCGTGGTTTCATCAGAGTCATGCGAACCAGACACTTTAATCGCTAACAGCTGGTATTCCATGACATCCACGAGGCTGCTGAAAATTCAAACTCACTTCTTCACATATTTTCCGCCAAGCGGCGTGGATTCAACAAAGCCAGTGAAACATTTACACATAAATATTTCATGGCTCTTTTTTGAAAAACATAGTTAACAACTGTAATTTTTGTTGTCTTGCAATTGTGCATATTCATTTTCATTTTCACCTAAAAACGTGGATTCAACAAAACCGATTTACCACATCTTCGAAAATTGCTTACATAATATTATCAGATAATTTATTTCAAGCACTTTCACCTCAAATCGTGGATTTAACAAAATCGATCTTTGAAAATTGTTCACATAAGATTATCAGATAATTTATTTCAAACACTTTAAAGTTTCACCTTGTAATCGTTGTTCATTTTCACCCCAAATCGTGGATTTAACGAAATCGATCTTTGAAAATTGCAGGATAATGCGTCAGCGTCCCCGCATCGTGCTCGATCTGGGCAATGGGGTGGTGCGTCGCCTGTCGCCGCTGGTGCGTCAATGCGACTATGCGCTGGACTGGATATTTCTGGAGTCGGGACGGGCCGTCTATCGGCAGGACGAGAGCAGCGACAGCACCTATATTGTGCTGAGCGGACGCATGCGTTCGGTTATTACGCATCCGGGCGGCAAAAAGGAGATTATCGGCGAATACGGCAAGGGCGATCTGGTGGGCATTGTCGAAATGATAACGGAAACCTCACGCACCACAACCGTCATGGCCGTGCGCGACTCCGAGCTGGCCAAGCTGCCGGAGGGCCTGTTCAATGCGATCAAATTGCGCTACCCGATTGTGGTCACCAGGCTGATCAGTTTTCTAAGCCATCGTTTTCTTGGCTCGATGCAGACGCGCGGCAGCAATGCGGCCGGCGGGCCCGTTGAGGCAAATCCCGTAACGCACAAATATTCAACAGTTGCCCTCGTGCCCATCACAGACGATGTGCCCCTGACGCCCTTCACCTACGAGCTCTACCATTCGCTCTGTGCCATTGGTAAGTTGCCTCATCGTAGATGATCGCAGAACGATCACCTTTTCCGCTATTATATCAAATGTTTCATAATATCGATAAATATCGATCCTGAGGCATGCATTTTGTAGCATAGCTCGAAGACTAGAAGGGTATGTAGGCTCTCCCATAGGATACACAGCCAAGGAATGTTTCACTTTTTGGATACCTTTCACCAATATTATCAAATGTTTCACAATATCGATAAATATCGATCTTGAGGCATGCATTTTGTAGCATATCTCGAAGGCTAGAAGGGCTAGATACACCAAATTTGGTATGTAGACTCTCCCATAGGATACACAGCCAAGGAATGTTTCACTTTTTGGATACCTTTCACCAATATTATCAAATGTTTCACAATATCGATAAATATCGATCTTGAGGCATGCATTTTGTAGCATAGCTCGAAGACTAGAAGGGTATGTAGGCTCTCCCATAGGATACACGTAGGAATGTTTCACTTTTTGGATACCTTTCACCAATATTATCAAATATTTCACAATATCGATAAATATCGGTCCGGAGGCATGCATTTTGTAGCATATCTCGAATGCTAGAAGGGCTAGATACACCAAATTTGGTATGTAGGCTCTCCTATAGGATACACAGCCTAGGAATGTTTCACTTTTTGGATAGCTTTCACCAATTCCACCAAAATAGATAAAGACTTTATTATTATAGGTAAAGCCTTGCGCTTAGGTATACAGAGAGTTTTTTGTGGCCTATTTCAGCAACTAGCTATAATCCTTTTCTTCTCTTTATTGCCTGCAGGTCCTGTGCTGCGTCTGACATCGGAGGTGGTGCGCAAACAGCTGGGCATTAACATCTTTGAGGCGGCCAACGAGTACCGCCTGACCTCGTGGCTGGCACAGCAGGAGGATCGCAACATAATCACGCTGTACCAGTGCGACAGCTCGCTGAGTCCTTGGACACAGCGCTGTATGCGACAGGCGGACGTGGTGCTGATTGTGGGCCTTGGCGAACGATCCCATTTGGTTGGCAAGTTCGAGCGGGAGATTGACAAGCTGGCGATGCGCACACAGAAGGAGCTGGTCCTGCTCTATCCCGAGACCACAAATGCCAAGCCGGCGAACACGCTCAGCTGGCTAAATGCACGTCCCTGGGTGACCAAGCACCATCACGTGCTCTGCGTGAAGCGCATCTTTACGCGCAAGAGCCAGTATCGCATTGTGAGTACGGTAGAGCTAAGACTCTCGCCCATTATTCACTCCTTCTCCCATTAATCGCGCTCCCAACTCTTTCATTTTGTCCAGAACGATCTCTACAGTCGCGTGCTGCTCTCCGAGCCCAACATGCATTCCGATTTCTCGCGTCTGGCCCGCTGGCTAACTGGCAATTCGATTGGCCTCGTCTTGGGCGGCGGCGGTGCCCGCGGTGCTGCCCACATTGGCATGCTGAAGGCCATCCAGGAGGCGGGCATACCCATTGACATGGTGGGCGGCGTCAGCATCGGCGCCCTCATGGGCGCTCTGTGGTGCTCCGAACGTAACATAACCACCGTCACGCAGAAGGCGCGCGAATGGTCCAAAGTACGTTAAGAATGCATTTAATATTTAACTAAGCATATATATATAAGTTAACGAGTGCCCCACGTTGGGCGCCCATCATGTATTCCTGTCCGCGATGCTCCAGTTACGGGTGTCGAGCTTCGCTCTTCTTTCTCAATTGATATCGAAGTTTGATTCCACCTTGTAAGGTATTGGCCTTGTGGCTCAGCAAGAAAAGTAACCATAACTGGCGGATCGCGAACAGGAATTCTTGATTTATATGCATATCATATTACGGCTGGTTTCAGCTCGTTTGCTTCACGGTTCATCCTGTTTATTAAGCGAATATCCCGTTTCTGAAGGCGTAAGCCAAACAAAGGTGTTCGTTTCACAGTTAGAACCAGTGCTTTTTCTTTTTCCCTTTATAAGTTGACGGCTGGATTTGTTATCGGGCTCGAATCGGTTCAATTCAAAATCGATATACAGCTGGAATCTATCTAGGTAGATATTTGACACGAATCGAGCAGGGGCCGATCCCTACAAAGGACCTGGATGAGCTGCCTTATCCAGTAGGGTTTGAGCCACCAGGAAAGTGTCTCTTTTAGTCGCCTTCTACGGCAAGCGATGACATGCTGTGGCGTGGTATTCATAATACATAATATAATATATAACGTTGGAGGAACGTCTAACCTTAGTCGATAGATCCTTCGTGATATAATTTTGACTCCTTTAATTAATTAAATGAAATGAAAACGTTATTTTTGTTTGCAGAAAATGACAAAATGGTTCCTTCAACTGCTGGACCTCACGTATCCCATAACATCGATGTTCTCCGGCCGTGAGTTCAACAAGACGATACACGACACCTTCGGAGACGTTAGCATCGAGGATCTGTGGATACCGTATTTTACGCTCACCACAGACATAACCGCCAGTTGCCATCGCATTCACACCAACGGTGAGTGTCCAACGACTGCGGCTGCGGCTGCTGTTGCTATCTCATTCACTCATGTAGCTGCTCGTCTTTAGATTTGTGCATTCTCTTTAGCATGCATTTGTTTCTCTTACGCTTTGTTATCATTTTTTTGTCAATGTTAAATGCTGCTTTGGTTTTTTTTATTATAACTGTTATACTCGTTTGGTGTTTGATATTTTGATGTAGCTTGTAGGAAGAACACGAACACACACACACACACACACAAACACAAACACACACACACATATATGTACATACACAGGCAGTAGTATATGTCTGAACACACATGTAATTAAGAGAGACATTCACGCAACTCCCACTAAAGAGTGACAGACATTTTTGCTCTTTATGTGACGTCATCAGCTGGCAGCAGCACAGTTGAGTCCATCTCAGTTGTTGTTGTTGTTGTTCTTGTTGCTGTTGTAATTAATTCTTTTGCGAAGATGTGAGAGGGCCGGCCAGCCGACATCTTCAAACTGGATAACGCGTCTTTTTGGTTGTTGTTCTATTTATTTTTGTTTTTAACGTAAATATACATATGCATTTGTGCTAAATGTTGAATTGTCTTTTGTCAAAAGTGTTGCACTTGCTGCTATTCCCCACTCTGCTGCGTGTCTGTGTCTTAGCTAGAAACTAACCTGTTGATAAAAATACTCAACGAACGATCTGTGATTGGTCAACAATATTCTCTCTCGTTCGCTCACAAAACGCTCAAATTCAAAGCTGTTTCTCTTTCTCTCTATTTCTCTCTTTCTACACACACACACCCACACACACATACATAAACACCCACACACACACACACACACACACATGCTCGCTCACTTGCCAAATAAACTGTCGCAGGATCTCTGTGGCGTTATGTGCGCTCCTCAATGTCACTCAGCGGCTATATGCCGCCGCTATGCGATCCACAAGATGGACATCTTCTGCTGGATGGCGGCTATGTAAATAATTTGCCAGGTAAATAGCAACTAGCAACTAGCAACTAAAAAAAAACAATGTTGAAAAACAACCGATAATCTATTCTTTAAATATAAATTTTCAATTTAGAGCTATTGGTGGCACAGAGAGCGCAGAGTGTTGGATAATTTCCTAGCGACTGTATAACTGTAACTGTTAATTGGTTATTTGCATTGCATTGCATACTTGTTCGTCCAATAGACCCCCTGCCCCTACCCCTAATGCAGAGAGTGCGCGCACAACATAAGTTTCGCTCTGTTGGCAACGCTGCCATTGATTAAAGACCTGTGTGGATCGCATTTCTAAAGCGGCCATTTTGGTTTTGTTTCTCACGCACACGCACATGAACATACACATGTACATACCTCGACACACGTATGTACAAAGAATTACATAGTTAAATTTACTTGCTCTCTTAAAAACATGAATTGTACATTGAAAACATTTGTATATACATACATACATATGTACATATATATTTTTTAGCAGACACATTTAGTTGCTGTTAAATTGTTTTGAGTTGTGTATTTTTGTATTTGTATGTGATTTATTTGTTGTACTTTTAATGCTGTTAAAACATAAATTTTCAACGTAGTCTAGCACAAGAGTAAATATGCATAAACCGTTAATTCGTTTGCGCACACACATACACACAGATACACACACAGCAACGATGGCAATAAAATTGTGTATTCTTTTTCTCTCTCTCTCTTCTCTCTCTCTTTCTCTGTCTCTCCACATACAAACTATACAAAATTATGCACATGTATATGTGTGGTAATCTCACCTTGTCCACATCCACACATAAACACACACACACGCACACATATATGTCTACATACTGTCCATTTTGCGTGTGTGATGATGTGTGTTACCACTTGATCAGGTCATCTGTGGCGTTATTGTCGCGCCAGTATGTCCATTGCCGGCGTCTTTCCCCCCTTCTGTGACTATCGTGACGGGCACCTGCTGCTCGATGGATGCTATACGAACAATGTGCCAGGTAACCAATAACAGTACCAGTAACAGTAACAGTAACAGAATCCAACACTCTGATTCCACTGGACAACACACTGTTGATAGCTCTGCATAGTTTAACATTCTGCTAACATTTATATAACATTTATGTAAAACAAACAACAACATAGCTGATGTTATGCACAATCTGGGCGCCGCGCACATAATTGCCATTGATGTGGGCTCACAGGACGACACGGATCTGACCAACTATGGCGACGATCTGAGCGGCTGGTGGCTGCTTTATAAGAAATGGAATCCGTTCACATCGCCCGTCAAAGTGCCCGATCTGCCGGACATACAATCCCGTCTCGCCTACGTGTCCTGTGTTCGCCAGCTAGAGGTGAGTATTGTCGACTAGAGATGGGCGTGTAACGACACCAAGAAGATAAGAATCCTCCAAAACTTGCCTCATAAATCGTACAAATATATATATATTCTCTATATATATATTCCTTCTTTCAGGAGGTAAAAAACTCGGACTATTGCGAGTATATACGGCCGCCTATAGATAAGTACAAGACGCTCGCCTTTGGCAGCTTCGATGAGATACGCGACGTGGGCTATGTCTTTGGCAAGAACTACTTCGATAACATGGCCAAGGCGGGCCGTTTGGGCCGCTTCAATCAGTGGTTCAACAAGGAGCCGCCGAAGCGCGGCAACCACGCCTCCCTCAACGAATACACGTTCATCGATCTGGCGCAGATCGTCTGCAAGCTGCCGGAGACATATGCCCTAAATACGGCCGATATATTCAGCGAGGATGAGGATTTCGATGGCTACATATCGGAGCCAACAACTCTAAATATGGTACATATTGACTATTAATTCGAGCATACCTTTTATACCCTGTATCGTTGTGTTCCTCCGTCCATTAGGGAGTCTACTTTTGTGGGCATTATCGATAGGTCCTTTAATCGTTCGCAATTCGATAGATATCGATAGGTCCTTTCATATTTCGCAATTCGATAGATATCGATAGGTCCTTTAATCTTTCACAATTCGTTAGATATCGATAGGTCCTTTCATCTTTCACAATTCGATATATATCGATAGGTCCTTTAATCTTTCACAATTCGATAGATATCGATAGGTCCTTTCATCTTTCACAATTCGATAGATATCGATTTTCAGCATGGGCTTTTGTTCACATCTTATCTTCGATAAATATCGATTTTGGCTTGGGCTGAAATCGATAAATATCGATGCAGCTGAAAAGTTCAAAAGAATCGATTAAGAAAATGACAATGACAATGAAAATTGATGTAGAAATGAGAAAATAATATGATGGATAATTACCAGCAGCGAGCTGTGCGCACAGGGTATGCACAGGGTATCCGGCTAGTCGGGCACAACCGACTAGAGCACCTGTGGCTTGTACTGAATTTTGTATTGTGTCTGTGCACAGGATCGACGCCGCATACAAGTGCCTCGGGCGGGCAACTCGCTATCCTTCTCAGAGACTGAAATGGACTCCGATGTGGAGATCGATCTGGAGCTGGAGCGCAAGGTGGACAAGGCGACGCAATCGACGCCGCCGACGCCAAACAAACAGCACGCACTGTCGCCGACCTCCAGCCAGGCGAACCTGCTGCCATTGCCGGCCAACAGCAAGCCGAAGGAGAAGCATCCCAGCTACGACAAGCTGGACAGGGAGCACAAGCGCCGACAGAAGTCCAAGCAGAAGCAGCCACAGGAAAGATCATCGATGCAGCAGAGGGACAGCATGGTCACATTGCATCCGGCCACAATGGCCGAGGCGACAACGCAAACGTTGCCGCATTCCAGCGAGGAGGATGAGCTCAAGCAGCTGGAACAGCAGCTGAAGCAGAAGCCAGAAGAGCAGCAGAAGGAGCAGCAGGATCAGCAGCAGGGGAATTTAACAAAAACTGATACCAAAAACTAGCTATAAATGGAAGCGCGTCTGTCTGAGATAAATATATATACCTATATATATTAACATGGCAGGAATCGGAGCAGCAGCCGGAACCGGAACCAGAACTGGAGCTGGAGCTGGAGCGGATGGAGCAAATGGACCATTCAGCTGGCCAACAAAATCTCCATTGATTATGTAGTAAATAATGACAATGAAATCGTTATCGTTTAGTTAAATAAGTGTACATCATATTTAGGCTTAGCTTTAGCTAATCACACACACACACACACGCACACACACACACACACACACACACACACACACACACACACACACGCACACACACTTGAATCCCTATCCACACGAAAAGGCACCGTATTGCAGCAGCTGCTCTCACCTCTATGTATGCACGCATGCGTGTGTATGTATGTGTGTACATGTGTATGCATATGTAATTATATATATATATATATATATATATATGAATGCAAGAATATGTATAAGAGCATAAGAGCTCTTTATATATATATTTTTACCGAACCCAAATGATATACACACACACACACATTGATATTTTATATATACGTATATATGCTTCAAGTTGATGTACATATGCACACACACACACACACACATATATATATATATATATGTATATATATGGCATCTAACTCCCTCCCTCTCCCCCCTCGCCAGGCATCCCTTTGCCCATCCTCACACACAACCCACACAGCTCCTTATTTTTAATTAAGAAACAAGAAGAAGAAGAACAACAACAACAGAAAAGAGGAAAGCAAGGAGATCGTTTTTTTTTATGGTCGATTTTTTTTTTAAGCTGAGCAAGCAAATAAATGTCAACAATTTGAAAGTACAATCCATAAAACGTTTTTTTTTTCCTCTAGCAATATTTTGTATTAGCTTTAACTGGAAATATTGTTAGTTATCTAACCAATTTTTGAAACTAACTTTTCGGTTTTGGCTTGGATTCGGAACATCCCAGTTCTTTCGATTTGGGCTGTGGCGTTGCCTGTCAGTCAGTCAATCAGTTAGCCGGTCAATCAGTTAGTCAATCAGTTAGTCAGTCAGTCAATCAGTTAGTCAGTCAGTCAATCAGTCAGTCAGTCAATCAGTCAGTCAATCAGTTAGTCAGTCAGTCAGCTAGTCAGTCAATCAGTCAGTCAGTCAATCATTCAGTCAGTCTATCAGTCAATCCGTCAGTCAATGATGTGCAAAATTGAAAGAAAATAAAAACTTGGCCCGGAGTAAGCTGAGTAGATCTATATAAATGATATATCTGAATAAGATTGCTTGATTGAAACTGATTGATTGAAAGACTGAAAGAAACCCTTCCGCCAGAATTGTGGATTTATATATTGAAAGTCGAAATGTTTAGCCTAATAACATAACACAAATGAAATGAAACGAACGGATGGTCGCGCAACGAAATGTGAGAGACTATAACAATTATTCCACGAGCATGAGCAGCTCGTCGCAGAGCTCGGCGAGGAAGCGTGCGTCGAGCACCTGCTGGGCCACCGGCAGCTCCGACAGCTCCGGCAGCGCCGGCAGCTGCAGCAGCTGTAGCTGTTTGTCCTTGCACGGCGGCGACTCCTGCGGCATGTCCAGCTGTGCGGCTGTCCACAGCTCCTCCAATGGATACGACTCGTAGACGTAAACGAATTCCGAGTCTTCCAGCAGCTGAACAGCTGTCGCCTGCCCCGCCGGCAGGATGTGCGATCCAGCCAATGCTGCCAGTCCGGATCCGGCCACGAGTCCACATTCGGCTGCGCCACCAGCTCTGGCTACGGCTCCGGCTCTGGTTCCGGCTCTGAAGGCCAAAGGATAGATGCTTTGCGATTTGCCGGACACTGGCACCGGGCTCCTGTCCGTTGGCGTCCGGTACGGCGGCAACGGCATCCGGCTAAACATGGGCCGCATTGTCACCTGATGTCCGACCACGAGCAGCTCCAGCGGCGCCGCCTTCTGCCGGCTGGCTTTGTTCGGCTTGCGGTGCGTTGACTGCGAGGCCACAGCAGTTGCTGCTTGTCTGCGTTTAACGTGCACGTTAACGTTGACGTTCACGTTAATGGGCGGACGTTTGACAATGCCATGGCACGGTTCGTTTCGGCGAGCAGCAGCAGATTTGTTTGCAGCGGCAGTGCTGCCAGATCGCCGCTGACGGCCAGTGCTGCCCATGCTGTTGCTCAACTCCATCTCTGTGCGCCGTCCAAAATTGAATGTTGTTGTTTTATGTGCCGTTAAAAGTGTTTGGTATTTGAATAAGTTTGCTTTCTGCTTTTTGAATTGTTCCAATACCAGAATTTTGCTGCTAATTGAAAGCAAACGCAACGCAACGCAACGCAGGCTATGCGATAGTTGGCCAGTTGACGTTAAGCTTTGAATTTGCCAAAACAATCGATTAGCCTGGCAGCACTCGACAGTGTGTCAATTCTCCGTTTCGCTGACAGTTGGCAAAATTTCGCCAACTGTCAACTGTAAATATGCACAAAGTGCATCAATTTGTGCAGCTCAATCAAAACATGAATGCCTCCTCGACAGCAGCTGCAGCTGCGCAGGAGCCCAACTGCAATAAGGCCGTGCTATTGGGCATTGCGACGGGTCCAGGCAAGCGCGAGAAGCCAAACAGCCCGCAAATTTTGCGACAATTCTAACCTCACTTTTTTGTTGTGTGTATTTTTTTTTGCCTTTCTTATAAGCAGGCAAAAAGAAGGTTAAAAAGTGCCGCAATGCTGTGCCTGAATTCGTGACCAACAGGAAGCCGCGTTATTTGCCAAATTTAAGCGAGCTGGTCTTGAGCAAGGGCTACATCGACGTGGACTCGTTTGTGCTGGGCATGCTCTCGCCGGAGCAGCATGGCCATGATGCCACGGCCGCGGCTCAATTGCAGGAGATGCACTGCATCGTGTTCGAGCTGCCGCGCAATCTGTTTCCACGGCACTCGCCGCTTAACAAGATCACGTATTTGCCGCCGCAGCTGCTGCCGGGCGAATTCGATGCCGGCGGCGTCTTTCCGCCGGGCGTCCTGGCCCACAAATACTATCCGCACGGACTGCTGCAGCCGCATCACTGCGGACCCACACCTGCGCTGTTTGTGGGCCGACGTCGCGTCGAGCGGCACAGTCTGCACAAGAGCCTGCCGTATACGTGCGCCGCCTACGTGGGCATGCCACTGTCCCAGATCCCGGTGCCGGTGCCCAACTGTGGCCACAACAACAACAGCAACAGCAACAACAACAGCAACAACAACAGCAACAACAATAGCAACAACAACAGCAACAGCAATGCCCAGCTGCATCCCGATCTCAGTGTCGGCTACATTATCGCGCATGCCGATTCGCTGGCCAAGGTGGATCGCTTTGCCCATCAGCAGACCCAATATCGGATATATGTGCCCGATCTGAGCACGGTTCCGATGATGGTGCACTTTAAGACCAAGCTGTGCATGACCGTGCTCTCGGATGTGGTGCATCCGCACGAGTCTGAGGTGGCGTTTGCCGTTATGCGCGAGAAGGCGACCAAATTTAAGCTGCCGCAGGAGTACTTCTCCATGGAGACCTGCTCGATTAAACGTGCTCCGGTATTCTTGCCGCAGCGCTTTCTGCCGCCCGGCTTCGAGGCGGGCTGTGTCTTTGGGCCCGGCACCTTGCCGGAGAGCCTGTTTGAGGGCCTGCTGAAGGATGCGCCGCCCCAGATGCAGCGCAACGTGGCCATTATGCCGCCAGTATTCATTGGCATGTGGAAGGAGCAGGTGACGCCGTCGGTGTTCATCTTTCCGCAGCAGAGTTTTATGGTGAACATGGCACCAGCTTCAGCTACACCAATCCAAGCGTCGCCGGCTCAGTTGTCTGTGCTCGACGAGATCAAGATGGCGCGCCAGGAGCTGAAGCCGTTGCCCAAGCTTTTTGAGCTTGAGCAGAAGCTCAATTTTCCTGAACGTCAAATGCAAAAGCGGCAAAGGGGTGGGAAGCAAACAGACGAAGAGGAAGAGGACGAGGAGGAGAATCTGGACGAGGAACTTGAGGAGGAGGAGGAGGAACAGGAGGAGGAGGGCGAGGACGAGGACGATGAGGAGGAGGAGACTGAGGACGACGGGGAGGAGGAGTTTGAATTTGAGGAAGAATACTTAGAAGAGTCCTTGGAAGAATTGGAAGAGGAAGAACTGGCACAGCACAATGAGCCATCCGACGACAATGAAGACGACCGTTCGACAACGCCATTCTACGAGGACTGCGGCGAGGACGATCGCGACACAACGCCATTCGACGGCTGCGCCGAGGAGATCGGCGCCAAGGCATTGGAAAAACCATTGGAGGAGCCAATGAAAAGCCGCAGCAATATGGGTCTGTGGTTCTTCACACTGCGCGGCCAGCCAGAGGACATTGTCGATATGCTCAGGAAACTGGAGAACGCCGGCATCAAGCTGGCCTCCAACTATGTGAATCAGCATGTTATACGCCGTGCCCAGGTGCAATGGCTCGATCTGATGCTGCGCCGCGACGAGATACGCGCCCAAATGGCATCGACGGGCATGCCGCGCGCCCGTAAACCGAATCCAAGTCCGATGCCAAGCCCAACGAATCCGAGCCAGGAACGCTCCGCGGAGCGCAAGAGGCGCGGCAAGAAGTGCGCCGAATGCGGTTTGCATTGTAATTAGATTCGAATATTCTCAAATTCAAATTCGATTAATTTCGAGAATCGCGCCTTGCTGCACACAACTATCGATACATATCGATATACACATTTATACACACACACACACATACACATATCGCGCGATCGTGCCTTGCCAAAAATAAATATATATACATATATATCTATATGTACACATATATAGTTATTTATTTATATTGTTCCTATATAGAAAATCAAAACTATTTATATATTTATATAATAAATTTAAAAAAAAAGTAGTACAAAAGAAAAAACTGCGAAAAAAAAATGGAGTTTTCTTTTTGCGTATACGCAATATTAGTGCCTCGTCAAATATATATATATATATATATATATATGTATTAATCTCTTTACGATTGCTACAACAATTGAAATTTGGATATCTAATAAATATTTACAATAAAAGTGCGCCATTGAAATTTGAAAAAAAAAAAACAAGCAAGAATCAAAAAAAAAAATAATAATAATAAAACAAATCTTGTTTTTAACATTTAATTTTTGTTTGCTTTTGTTTTTCTTTTTTTTTTATGTGGTCAACTTTTGATTAAAGCATAAATATACACATATATAATTATTATATTCTGTTTCTCAATTGCTTCGCCACAATACGAATTGACAATTCAGACAAACCGCTAGCTTAATTCTAGTATTGAGATTCCAGACAAGAATTTATCAGAAGAAAAATATAAAAAAAAAACCGCTTGAGCAGTGAGTGCCCCTAATGCTAACGTACTCTCTTCCGGCTTGTTTGTGACCTGCCCAAATCACTCGAACTCTAGCTCTAGCTCTAGCTGACTAACGCCATGGAATTAGACAATTTGAGTTGATTTTGTTGTTGTTCTTTTTTTTTTTAGTTTTAGTTATAGTTTTATACAGTTGTACATTAAACAATATTAGCTTGCAATTATTAAAAACTAATAACAAATTCACAAACATTTCTTTTTTGTTTTTGTTTTTCACAATTGATTTGCTTGGCGTATTTTTGCCATATATTTTAATAAATTGTTCTTTGTTTTTATTATTATTATTCTTCATTCTTTTTTAGCGCTCGTTCAATGTCTCTCGTCTCTTTCTCTGTTCGCGTTCTTTACTAATTTTCTATGCAATTCTCACAATACGCTTTTCGTTTAACATTTTGTGTGGAATTTCTTTTAGCTTTTGCTTGATTACTGTAAATGTTGCATATGTTGCTTGGTAAATATTTATATATATATATATATGTGTGTGTGTGTGTGTGTATATATATATATATATATATCCTTTAACTATATGAATTCATTTTTCGTTTTCGTTTTTTACATGCACAAACTCATGAGGCCAAGGGTTCTGATTGTGTGTGTGTGTGCTTGTGTGTGTGTGTGTGTGTGTGTGTGTGTGTGTGTGTGTGTGTGTGTGTGTTTGTTAGTATAGCTTAAATAATCCTAACCAAATATCAAGACTTATATATATATATATATATATATCATATATAGATATAGATTGCAAAATGGAGAGCAACTAGGTGAGGGGGAGAGCAAGGTATGGGGGGGGGGGGGGGGGGGGGGTGGGGTTAGAGTTTAGAGCAAAAGACGTGGCGAGTTGTTTCAACAATATTTATAAGTCGTACAGGTTAAATATTTCAGAAAGTTCGTGTGTTTATAGAGTATATATGTATAATAATAATAGTTAGTTATTGTATTTTTTGTGTTTTTGCTTTTTTAGATAGGGGGCCATACTACAATATATATATAGATATATATATATATGTATATTAAATATATATATTTATGAATGCGACTTAATATCAGTTTCTCGCTCGACCTAATCTATACATATATATATATATATATGTATATATATATATGCATATATAACTATATATAGTTATGTTTATGTTAAATATGACTCGTTATAACTACAATCAGCTGCACTTGCTGCTCATCACGCCATGCATACGTATGTATATATATATACACATATATGTTCATTATCATAGTCAATCATAGCTGGATGCGGCATGCAACTTGTAATTTGTTGTGTTTAGCGGCCAAAAGAGTTGGGTGTGTGTGTGTGTGTATGTTGTTATAGGAGCTGGTAAGAGACCAGGTTTGCAGTTTATGACTTGGCCCAATTGCAGAATTCGCATCGTTTCGTTTTGCAGTTGGTTTCGATTCGGTTTTGGGTTCGGTTTTTATATTATGTATATTTTTTTTGTTTTGTTTCGGGCAAATGTGCTCAGATCTGGCCAACCAGCTCCTGTATGCTCCGCAATAGATCTTCCATGTTTCACAAGAGATCACGATGGAACACCCACGTGTGCTTTGTGTGTGCAAATTTATGTGACAGCCACTGTGACTCCAGCAAATTGAAGCGATCCTGACTCAGATAAAGCGGCTTGCCGCGTCTGCAAATAAATGAATATAAACACGTAGAGTAATAGTTATTTCAGAGGTTGAGCGCGTACGTACTTGAGATCCCGATCCTCCTCATCGAAATCATCCAGATATAGTGAGCCCCAGAGGCAGGCGCGTCGCCCCCTAATGACAATTATATAGGTCGAGGTGACAACCAGAAAGATGCCAATGCCGCCGCCGCAGGACAATGTGTGCTGTGTGAAACAGAAAATGTTTAATTTATATATTGAATAAGCCGCCTGGCAATTGACACTCACCCGCACTGCCTCACAGCATTCCTTTTCGGCACAGCAATTCTGCTTGAGGCACACAATTGTGCCGCACAGCAGACAAATGGAGCTCTCCTTGGGCACCTTGTAGCAGTTGAGGCATGGACGCTCATGATAGTACTGTTTACATAAATGAAAACAATTCAATTGTTACTCTAGCTAAATTGATATCAAAACTGTTTGAAAAGCATGCACATATTTCGCTTAACAGCTGTCTGCTATGTTAACACACTGTTATTAACATATTAGCAACAATATGCCTCCAAAAAGTTTGCACAAGTTGCTCTGTGGTCAGCTTTTACTCACAAATGTTAAGCAGCTTGTTACAGAGTAACGGGCTGTAAATAACATTTGAGGGCCTCTGCCAAATCGTTCATATAAATATTCGAAAATTCGGGCTTTACATATGTTTAAGAAGTAAGCTTGTAATATTAAAAGCTTAACAAAATGTTACAGCACAGAGTTGTCTTCCTAGCGGACTTTTAACAACTGTTTACATAACTTTGCCAAACAACAGTGCGATAACATAGGCAAAGGAAAGTCGTTAACATTTCTAGGCATAACATAGTGTTAATATAGCATTAAGGGAGCTGCACGTTAACATGAAGGCTTCCATATTAGAGAGCGACATTATGAACTCACCGTAAAGAGACGCTCGTATTCGCGCGGCAGCTCCAGCAGACGCGGCTGCTGCCACAACGAGTGCTGATTCATGAGTATCAACTCGCGCACCGTATCCGACGGCGGATGAACGTCCATTAGCTGTTTGCACCAAAATTGTGGCAACGTTTGCTCCGTGCCGGGTATAAAGCATAGGCCCTTGGATGCATTAAAACAATCCCAGTCCATTGAATCTGTGACCAATTCCAAATAATAAACCAGACGCACAAATTCCAAACCAGGCGCTGATATTTCCGGCATCTCGTGCCTATACAAATGTTGACGCAGCAGCGCCGCAATTCGCAAAAATGGTAAACAAAGCGATTGCAGCTGCAGTTCCATCGACTTGAGATTAACCTCTGCCGTTGGGCTGTTGCTGCTGCCTCCAGCAGTTGCTGCTGTTGCCTCCTTTCCTGTTGCTGATCCTGCTGCTGCTGCTGCTGCTTCTGTTGTTGTTGTTGTTGTGCTGCTGCTGCTATTGCTGCTGTTGCTGGCACTGGCGCTGGTGCTGGGTATGCTGTCACGTCGCAGATGCGACAGGCGATTCGTTTGATTCAAAACCAAAGCCATGGCCTTGCCCAGCTCCGCGCAGCTCTTCAGCGGCCCAAAACGCGCGGCGCTGCTCCGGCGATTGCCAATGCCACTGCCACTACTGCTGCTGCTGCTGCTGCCGCTGCTGCTGCTGCTGCTACTGGTCGCTGTTGCACTTGCAGTTGCTTGTGTCGAGGAGGAGGCGGAGGCGGAGGCGGAGGAGGAACTTGTGGCGGTTGCTTCGGACTTGCTGCTGCTGTAGTTGGCCAAAATGTGATCGCACTCGAAATCGGTGAGCGTAACGCACAATTGCACAACAATCTGATAGTAGAGCAGATTGTACATGACCTTTACCATGCAGGTGAAATAATCTGTGACGAGCACGTAGATGTTCTTATAAATATCAATTGAACTTCATTTTATTTTCTTGCTTGTACTTACCCTGATCGAGATGCAGCGGTGCGAGCAATATAAATTTGAGCAGCAACGCAATGGGATCCGCCAGCAGACTAGGTATCACCTCCCGGCAATGTGTGGGCAATGGCTCCGTATCGCGCACCGGCATCCCGGCCAGCGACGCCCAACTGCTCCACAGTGGCCACTCGACGAGGACACGCACGTGCACGGACAGCACATGCAACAGAGGGACAATGCAGTCCCGCTTCGGCTTGTAGCGTGTGGCATTCGATGAGCACAGTGAGCCGCCGCGCTGTATGATCTCTGCCTCCAGATTGGTCCGGGCTATCGATGTCACAAATATGAACAGCTTCCGGAACGTTATTTTTGTCGATTTGACCTTCCGCTGCGCTATGTTTGTCATCACCTCCATGGCGTGACCCATGGCCTCTGTGAGTTTCGTGGGTTGCTACAAAACATACAATTAACAATTAACTAGTATTAAATACAAGTTAAGTAAACTCTGTCATCCTTTGCTACAAGAGAACTTGTATACACACTCATAAGCACATTCATACTTTCGACACATTCATACACACATTCATAAATTCATACATACATACATACATACATACATACATACATACATACATACATACATACATACATACATACATACATACACACACACACACATACATACATACACACACACATACATACATACACACACACATACATACATACATACATACATACACACATACATACATACATACATACATACATACATACATACACACATACATACATACATACATACATACATACATACATACATACATACACACCTACACACACATACATACACAAACACATACATACACAAAACACAAAAAAAAAAAAACGTACTAGTCAAAGCACGAAATCTGCGTGGATTACTTGAACTTTTGAGAATCGAGGAGGAGAGCTGTGTTTATATGAACGTTAATTTTAAATTTGCAATGCAGAAGGAATTTAACTTGGTTTGCCTTTATTATAATAAAACATAAATGCATTCACACATGCATCCGTTTTAAACATACCTACATACATACATACATACATGCATCCACACACACATACACATACTCATCTATACATACATACAATATGCTGAAATAAACATATAACATACATGCATGCATGCAGATGTGCATATTACATACATACATGCGTGCATGCAGATGAGCTTATTACATACATACATGTAGACACACATTTACGCATATAGACATAAAAATACAATGGGAATTGGAATATTATAAAGCTGATCCATTTCATGTTTGCACTCACCGGTATCGTTTCGTTCTCCTTAATCAAATCCGTGAGATCGGCGACAAGCTGTTCGAACGGCTGGTTACCGGAACGGACCAGATGCATAGGCCTGTCCAGCTGCGGACTAAGGGGCAGCACAGAATTGGATAGCTGTCGGCAGACAGGACAATAGAATTCGCCACGATCCTGCACGGGCTGCCGCTGGGTTGTATAGAGCGTCTTGAGGTACGCCTCCAGGCAGCTGAGATGGACATGATGGCCGCACGACTGCACATGAACGCCGTTGTCGTAGGCCATATTATTGGACAGATACCAAGACTCGTCGCCAAACTTGAGGCCAAGCAGTTCGGTGCGCCTAGCGAATTCGCTGGCCAGTCGCGTTGTGTGCGCCAGACGCTCTTTGTCCGCATCGTTAAGGGGGAGTGGCAGACGCTCGGCAATTCGCCGGCGATGGCCGACAATGCCGCTGGACTCGACGAGGACGACGAGACCGATGGGATTCGTTTCGGTGCTGGCCGTTGTGCAATTGCAAATGATGCAATCGTATTCCTTTTCGCGCGGCTGCTCCTCATACATGGAATCCTCGTCCTCATCCTCCAAGCCAAAGTCCAAATTGTTGGCCGCCGCGGCAGCCGATTGCATAAACTGTTTCTGTTTATTGGCAAAATCCTGCATCATTTTCTGTTGGCGTTCGCGCGCCTTCTTCCGTCGCTCCTCCTTCTCCTTGGTTTCGCGTGCGCGCGCCTCCGCCTGTTTCTCGCGCTGATTGGGCCAGAGCCGTGCCCGTATGTCATCGATGCTCTGCGCGCACTGCTCATCCCTCGTGGCAATCTTGCGCAACAGATTGCCAATAAAGAATGGTCCGTCGCCAATCCGCGAACTGGACACATGTATATGCTTGTAGTTGTAGTTGCCATAGCTGTGGCCACGCTCGGCCAGCGCTGTGCTTGTCGAGGTGCTCGCCTCATTGCAGTCAACATCCATGGGAGATGCGGCGCCGGCGGCCATTGTGTTGCCGCCATCGCTGAGCGAAAAGCTGTCCAGATTGCCGCTTAGCTGTGAGTGCAGCTTGAGCAGCAGCGACAATATGCTCTCGTCCATGTGCAGCTCATCCTTGTTGCCGGCACCGCCGATGGCAATGTCAACGGTGCGTTTGCGTGCACCGCTCGGATCGTAGCTCATGCGACCGCCGGGTCCAACAACTCCGCCGCTTAGCGCATTCGATGGCACCACGTCCATGTTGCTGCTGGGCACCGCAACCGGCAGACGCACCCGCTGGAAGGGCAACAGCATGCCGCTGCCCGTGGGCGTTGTGGGTGAGAACATTTCATTGGTTGTGCTAGTGGAGCCAGTGCGCGGCTCCCTATCTCGATCGCGATCACGATCCCGATCCCGGTCGCGATCATCGATCGTTGTCGTCTCTGCGAGCAGGAGATCACGTCTTATGGCCACTTCCATGCCGCTCTCGGGCAGCGTTATCTGTTGCAATGGGAAATGATGAAAATCTTGTGCTGCCGGACTCATGTCCATGGCCGTATCATGGCCATCATCATTGCCATCCGGCTGAAGGAGGACAACGCCCGTTTCGGCAACCACCGACAAATCCGGCACCAAGGCCACCTCCATTCGCATGCTACGCGAGATGGCATTATTTCGCTGCTGTTGAGTGCGCGCCACGCTCATTGCACCCGATGTCTCGTCGAGATCGTCCAGTCCATAGGTGTCACCAATCATGCGCATCGCCTCTGTATCGACATCAAAGTCCAGATCCGAGAAGAAGGAATTGGAGCGATAACTGGATGTGGTCACTTGTGGATCCCGCGATTTTAGCGACACTTTGGTCACAACATGCCTCAGATTACAGCTAAGATTATCTGTGGGATAGCAATGGAAGAGCTTGGGCGGCTCACGCCTGTTTCCGCCATAATAATAGCCCGACTTATGCTGGGGCTCGCACTCGACCATGGCAACGGGCGAGGCTGAGGCACCGCCTGGAAAAGCGCCCGATGATGACCCAGCAGCAGCATTCATATCACTGCTCGTCTCAACGGCAATCTCAAGCAGGAATACAGCTAAAGCTAGCAGATGCTCGGATACATCGCGCGTATGCACCGCCCGAAAGAATATCGAGAGTATTGTGGAGTGGAAGAGGCGAGAGTTCAGTATGCGACAGGGATCCGTGAACGAGCTGCCCACCGGCAGTGGCAGGCGAAATGGTGGCCATAGATTGCCGCTGGCTGGCATTTTATCCTTGGACTTGACATAGTTGGTGAAACGATCTAGCGACGATTGAAAGTCCCGACGATGGACAGCACGCAGCAGTACGTGCAATGGATCATAATATTCCTCCCACACCTCATCGATGGGCGTGAACAGGCCTTGTTCGAGATTTTCTGAGCCGCTGGATGGTGCCTTGTACACGGATAGCTTCTTAAGGAACGTCTCGAAATTCTTGGTATGCACATTGCCCGAACGTTCCGGCATCAGTTCGAGCAGTTGCGAGTGCGTCTTATTTTCGGTGGCCAGCAGGGCGCTAATCTCAATGATGCACTGGGTAGCCTCATCGTTGCCCAAATTGGTGCGACTCGTCACCAGGGTGGCCAGGAATGTGAGAAAACCCTCCAGCATGGATGATTGCTCTGGTTTCTGTGGTTGCTTCAGGGGCGCCGTTTCCAGCCATTGGCCCACATCGAACAGTTCAATTGTGTTCTGCAGAAAGAAATATTGCGACAAATTTGTTGCGCAGATTTGCAGAAAGAATAGATCCATATCGGCCATGGAATTGCAAAAGTTCGCCTGTATGTAGGTCATGGCTTGTCCCTTTATTTGCAGACCATTGCGCACCCATTTGCCAGCGAGAATTTCGTAGAAAAAGCTCTACAAAAAATATATAAATGAAAAATATAATAAATTAGCAAAGTTTTTTCCTATATTAAAGAGATGTTGCCAATTAGTTATCGATAAATTGCGCAGCACAACATAAATTTTTAACACCGTGGCAGCACTGCAATAGTTCATAGGTATATTAACATAGAAAATGTATAAACGATCTAATTCGCACATATACGAACAAATAAACAAAATCAAATTTGAATACTTAAAATGTGCGCGCGAGGGAACTGTGGCGATTTCCACCACCTATTTTGAGTTATCGATAAGAAATAGCGCGCGCAGTTGATTGTATTTTTTGAAAGTACATTTTCAACACAGTGGCAGCATCGCAACCGACCCACACGCATGTATGTTGATGTGTGCTCACTCGCACTCATGCTTTGACCTGCGCTGGTGGCATTATACTGTAAAAATAACAACAAAACAAAGAGAAACTGTCTTCAGCCAAAAGAAGTAACACAATAAAACCTAATAAACAGCGAGAGCAGCCATCAGACCGAGCCACAGATACAAGCGAGCACGCTCAAACCGCTAGACGACGCCGCTGCCGTCGCTGCCGCCATTCGCATTTTGATTTTCAACTGGCGCGGTTGCGTTGCGTTTGCATTCGCTGTCTGTTGTTGCTGTTGCTGTTGCTGTTGCCGTTGCCGTTGCTTGTTCTTGTGTCAGAGTTTCTCGTTGGTGTTTGCAAACAACAAAAACGCACGCTAGTGGAAAAATGCAGCTGCTGCAGTCACAAAAAAAATGGGCAACGCTGTCGCTACCGTTGTTACTGCTGCTGCTGCTGATCGGTGGTCAGCCAGCACCAACGGCGGCGCTTATAGAAGATGTGCTGGATATCATACATGTTGTCAAGGAGGTGACCACCGGTGTGCTAAAGGCCTGGGAAATTGTACAATCATCGCCATTGGCGGCCAGTATTGAATTTCCCCTAATGCGCGAAAAACAGCGCAAAGTGCTGCAGCGTCTGAAGATGGTCAGCCAGCAAATTGACGAGACGGAGGCGCAGGTGGGCAAAAGTATATAACGTATCCTTACATACATACTCAACATACAAATTTGCATTGATTTCAGCACGCACAATATGTGGCGCTGGCCATTGAGTCCGTGAACAAATTCATCAGCCACAATGTACCGTTAATGACCAAAATGAACGAAATCTCGGACACGATGAATCGCATTTCGTCACGTTATCAGCAAATGCAAAGCTATGAGGCGCACAAGGATAAACTAGAGATGAGCACACTGATCACATTTGCCGAGTGGACCGTATCGCCAAATGCTCATTCGGTGCATCATCTCATGGATCGACTGCATTTAACCCTTCTGGGCAATGGCAACGATGAGAAGTTAAACTCATCATCCAGCAATTTGCTAACCCAACTGGCGTCAAACTATGAGGTAACTTAAACGATGCAAATTCCAATCAAAAAATCTTGTGCATGCGACTTGACTTCCTATATGGAATGAATGAATGAATCATCGCATTGAGTTGGTTTAGTTAGTTAGTTAGTGTTGTTGTTGCCGATAAAACGTTCCCAGAAGTGCTCTCAATTGAACCCGACTTTCCGGTCTCGCCGTTAAACGTTTCTTGCCTTTTGCCTTTGTACTTATTATTTTTTCGCCAATGGGGCAACCCCAAAAGAAAGTCCATGTTTAAAACTGCGACGGCGTCGGCGTCGCACCGATATACAATATGTATTACTCATCGCTAGCGGAGACAACGGAATGTAATGGGACGGACGGCCGACACAAAAGCAGAGCCAGAAGATGAGCCACACTTACGCACACACGCATATGCATACGTACACACACGCAAAATACAAGCGCACGCATGCGAATTAGCAGCGATTTTAAAATTTAATTTAATCAATGTTAAAGGTGCTGCTAAAATATCACTCGTTTCATATTTGCAAACGCTGCATTGTATACACACCAAACAGACAGACGTACATACATACATACATATATACATGAATATACATATGTAAGCGTCTATTTACATACGCATACTGAGGTCAAAGGTCTTCTTGATTGTAAACATTGCGCACAAGCAGTCAAAAAACAAACAAGAACAAAACGAGTTGTTTTAACCATAGAGCAATGCAGGTATATGCTGCCCCCAACAATGCTGGGGCATGTCTTTGTTTTTCACCCTCCCCCCTTTTAAGTGCATGTCATGGTGGTGGCATAGCACGCACACGAGAGAGTACGCGTATTCGTGAGAGTAAACGAGCCAAAAAAAAAGTGAGAGGGCGACCGAGAGAGCGCAGAGACAGGTTAGCTCAATTTATACAGCTGATTTCGATACACAAAAATATGTCTGTGACGTCACGTTTATCGATATTAAGCCAAAGGTGGCAGGTGCATACAGCTGATCGCGCATAGCTTTGCGTCTCACACTATGTGTGCCAAATACGAACAGACTTCGCCTAAACTCAAATTGCCCGCGCTCACTCACACTCGAAAGTGTGTACAAAAGTGCATTCGTGTGGGTAGAGCACAGCCACATTCAGTTTGCTTAAGCTGCTCCACGCCTGGCCACACAGCAAGAAAAAAAAAAGTCAGCTGAGTTAGCGATTTGCTGCGAGCGCAAGCGACATCGTCGAAAATGAGCACGAGACACAAGAACCATATAATACGAGAAATAAAAAGAAAAAAAAAACGCTCGAAAGCGGCTCAAGGGAGAGAACACAACGAACGGGAGTATTTTCTGATTCTGATTTGTGTACGAGTACGAGTCACACACACACACAGTCGCACACATATACAACACATATTTCACAAAAGCCAGCAGAGCGGCCGAAAGCAGCAAACAGTAGCAGAACAACCAGCAACAGCAGCGTCACAAAGCTAAAAGCGTCCAATAACAAATTAAAATAAATCGCAAAATTAAATAATGCAAACATTTCGAAACAGGCAAACAAAACTAAATTGAAAATTTCATTTAACAAATTGCATTGCGCGTGTGCGAACGAGAGGAAGCGAACAAATCAAAAAAAAAATAAAACGTACATATGTATGTGTACATATGTATGCATTAAAAACTGAGTGAGGCAGTCTTTGTTTAGAAAAGGCTGGCAACGCTGAATTCTTGTTCGTTTTGGCAAACTTCAAAAGGCACGCGCGGCACAAGCGGTAAAAGTTGTTAGTGAATTGGCTATCAAAAAGAAGAAGAAAGAAAAAAAAAAAACGAAACAAGCAAAAATATTCCTGGAACTCCCCAAAGTAACGAACATCTACTGCGCAAAACATGGCGCGCAAGAGCAACAACAAAAGCCCAATGTCAGCGATAATAATGTTGTTGTTGTTGCCGCTGCTCTTGATTGTTGCTGTCGCCGCCGCCGCTGCGCAGTCAACTTATGTGCATCGCACGCCCATCATCGAGGTGGATGCCCTGCGTAACGAGTATCTTAGCTTGGAGCGTTCGCTATGGCAATATCTGCAGAAAACGGCCAATAGCCTAAACAATAGAGAAACACAGCTGCGCAAGGTGTACGATTTGCATCGCAGCTTTATCAATAAGCGGCAAATGGGTCGCATATTTGACAGCAAAAAATACGATGTAATGCATCATTACGAGTGGATGATGCTGGAGTCTCAATTGTCAAATCTGAACCGTCTTTTTGACTTCTATAAGGTACCTATTACCAAAAAAAAAAAAAAAAAAACGACAGCAGCCGGAAGCCAAAGTATATAATATATAAACATCTAATTCTTATCAGAACACTCTAATGAGCCCAATCACAAGCACTGGACTGGATGAACGCGCCGTATTGGATCTAGCCGAGGAGGTGTTGCGCAATGATACATCATTTTCAATGTCGCAAATATTCCAGGAAATCGAGCACATTATGGTCAAGCAAACGCTTTACTACAGGGCAATGGTGGTTCGTTTAATTGCATTTGCCAAATGGTTTGCGTGAGATTGTGAGAATGGGACATTACACCAATTACTTAAGCTCGCTCTCTCTCTTTCTCTCTCTGCCCTGCATGTTTGTGTTGGCTTATCAGACAGCCGTTTGTTTTTGTTTGCACCCCAACTCGATATAACGACACAACGGAAATGGAACGTTGATGTTTGTATATTCGTAGAATACAAATAAGAGAGAGGGAAAGTGTGCGAAACAGTTGCTGCGCTCAGATTTATGAAGCAGCTCTTTAACTGGAACGTATGGCAGGTCATAACTGTAATTGAGATGTTCCATCGATAACATTGCATTGCACATCAGCAGGAGTTAGAGTGAAATAGAAAGAGATAGCGAAAGCTATTTTTTGTTTTTATTAGAATGTATGGCAGCTCAGGTGTAATATCGACTGCACGTAACTAAATACCGTTTCTTGAAGTTTCCTGCAAATATTTATATTATTTATACACATTACTAATGGTTTTTTTTTTTCTCACATTTCCAGGTATCGGCAGACGAAATGTGCAGCACAAGACAATCGGCACAACAATTTGTGTATTCACTGTACACTGACGTTGCTCTAACGGAACTGAAAGGCTACACCATGATGGAGTTCTCCTGGATGATGCTGCGCGTCTACGGCCGTGGCAATTACTCACAGGAAGCGGAACTGATGCGACGCGACTACGAGAGGCGCACTGAGCGCACACTGAAGTTACTTAAGGAGGTGATGCGACGTGCTGATCGCATTGTCTGGCGCTGTGATCCCGACAAGCATGTACCGCAAGTTACCTACGATGAGGTGACACGCCTGCTGCAGGGCTACATTGAGAACGAGGTGGATCTGAATTCAGATGAGACGTGCCGTGAAACGTGCGCATTTTATCAATCAACACGCAGCGAGGGCTGTTTCAAGAATCTATATTGCTCACGGCAGCCAAAGTGTACGGGCAAACTGTACGGCTGTCAGTTTGTTGACTCCGATATGTGGGTGTGCCCGGCACCATTGAGCAGCACACGTCGCTACGAGTATATCGAGTACGAGAATGGACGTGTGCTTGGGCAGCGCAAGAACTGTGTTCGTGGCACCACCAAAGTGGACAGCTGGTGGCGCTATCTGTTATGGCATTGCAGCTACTGCTTCTGTCTGTGCGATGAGCAGGGCCTGAAATCTGATCGTTTCTTCAATCTACGCGAATCCGTTTCGGATGTCAGGCAGAACAAGTGAGTGCACAAAAGTCAGAGGAGTTCAAGTAAATCGATATATTTTATGGCCTTTTTTTTTTTGTTTTGTACAGAGTAATCACGGGTTTGCGTTTTTTGAAGAAGAATCGCATATTCCATCTTCAGATACAGGAGGGTCAGCTGTTGCCACGCGGCGCCATCAATGAATCGACGCTGTCATGGAAGCCCGTCGATGAGTACAAAATCTTTGATAGAAATGTGGCCAAAGGCATTGACTATCATACATTGAGCTATGAAAGCCGTTCCATCGATTTGGATGATATTATGAAAACGGATGACAATACCTTTGTGGTCACGGGCGTGCGTTTTCGAGTCTTGGGCGCCCATCTGAATCTAGAGGCACGTCTTAGTGAGTTTGATTTCAAGAAGGGCGAACTTATCCAACCAGAGGTGAACAGCGTTTGGCAATCGAATGACAATACCGATGTTAGCGGTGAACGCAGGTAGGAGAAGCACACACACACACACATGTACAACGCAAAAACCTTTATTTATATCTCTTCTGCAGACAAAAGCTGATCCTCTACAACGCAGATGTGCCCACACGCACGGTGGTCACCTCTTTGCCGCTGTCCAAGCACAATCAGTACATTGACTTCGTCAATTCGGGCATGGACAAGGATGCAGCGCAGAGCACTGTACCGTTTCTCGATATACAGGATGTGGTTTCTCAACCGCCAGTGCCGCTAGCCGGCATTGGCATCTATTATAAGGGTCGTCCCGGCTATGGAGGCTTTCTAGCGCCCAAAATCATTACCTATGATTTTACGCCACACGTCCAGCTGCCAAAGAGCATTAACTAGGTGGCCTGGCCTGGTTTTCGGCATGGACATCTCAAGATAATATAATAGCTTTCTATATGTAGGTGTACATCTAATTCCTTCTTATCGATATTAAATACAAAAAACGAGCACATTTTTGTGACAAACAAAACTCCAGAAGAAAGATTTGAAAACAAAAAAACAAACATACTTTAATTGAAAAATTAGCCATAAAGAAACGCGTTACCTATCGGAATACACAAATATACATAGACACAAATATGTATATTTAAAAAAAAAGAATAAAAGAAAACGTTTTAAACCCAAACAATTGTGTTTTTCTTCAGTTAGACAATGCATAAACAATATCGAGACACGCCTCAGTTGTAAATCATATAAACAAACACGGTTGCCAACGAAATCTCTAAGATTAAATATCGTAAGCGAAACGATTATGAAAACAAGAATGCAGCAGCTAGCTTTGGGGAATACCGACGCCTATGATACCCTAACTGACGGTTACATGTGATCTATATCTAAAGCTCTATGGAAAGGCTAAGCTGTTGCTGGTAGTCCAATGTTGACAACATGTTGCTCTTGTAGGCAAAAATGAAAACAACGTTTCCTTAAAATATCAATAGAAGAAACATTCTGTTTACACATCAGAAAGCTATACACATATATGCTAGAGACCGATGTTGATAAGACTTTAGTCATATTGGGAGCCTATTGAATCCCGTATCTTGGAAAACAAATTCAGTTGAGCACAAAAAAACTCAATGACAGCTTTATATAAAAGGCATCCTATTCAGTTGACATTGATATAATTATTATTGGCTGTGAACTCACCTGCACACGCAACGGATGTATCATAAGCAGGGGCAAAATGTCTGGACGCGAGGGCAGCACATCGCTCAGGCTGATGCCCATTTTTGTAACCGCTTGACAGACAAAGGCGGCCAGGTAGCGATGCAACGGGAAATGAAATGAAGCCTGCATCATTTCCTCCTGTAAAAGAGAAATTGCAATTAGCATTTGACGGGGTAGAAATGTGATGAAAAAAGATTATTGTACCAGTGACAATTTGGGCTCCCTGAAGTAGATGGAGTCGAGCCACTCGTGCAGCGTCGTCACGCAGTAGTTGATGATCTTTTTGGCTAGATGTGCATGTGTGCCATCCTGCAGATGGGATATAATGGACCACATGGGATACGCGCTGGCCTCCAGCTCGCATGAGAATGCCGCATAATAGCTATTCGGTTCGAATTCCACATGCGAGGCTGTTTCGCGCACATTCACATTCATGCCCTGCAGCATTTGCAGAAACTGAAACCACATATCGATGAGATTATCATCCCGTAGAAAGACCAGCGCCACCGACTCATGCGACAGCACATTATTGAAGTCCGACACCAGTGGCCAATAGCAGTGATCCTTCATCACCTGACGCGTGCAGTCGATCACAAAGTGAAAATTCTTTGTGGGATCTGCAAATGAATTGATCAAAAATGAGAGTTGTTCACAGATGGGACATTGGCATGAATTATGGTCACCTACCATGCAGCGTATTCTGTATGAGTATCTTGGACATCATCAGTTTTAAACTAATAATCATGACATGCAGCAGCGACAGTTCGTTGACCATTTTTAAGGCCAAACTCTCATTGGAGAAGAGCTGAACGCTCATATGGACGACACGGTTGCTGAGCGTGTCCGGATCGCGGGACATTTCCAGCACCGATGGAATGCGGCTGTAGTGCATCACAAATGTGCGCGTCAGATGCTCCTGAAAATTAAAACACAAATTTTCAATAACAATTTGAAATTTTGAAATTAACGTTCGTGCATTTAGCGACTCTATGTTGCAATGCAATAACGGCGATATAAAATACTATCGATATTTATAGCAATCAGTGTTGTCCGCTCAACATTTTGAGAAAATTTCCAAAATCATTTTGGCAACACTGATTGGCTTTGGGAATATTTTGTCTGTGCCACTTACCTTGTAGTCCTGATCGGGCAACATGTTAAGCAGAAAACAAACCAGCGTCTGCGGAAACTCAAATTTGAATGTCCAAAATATAAATTCCTCGAGCAGTGTGGTATGCACCAGCTTCTTGCCCAGCGCCGGCAAATCGCGGTATTCATCGGGCGGTTCGGGATTGGGAAAACGATTGACCGCATCCTCATATTTCTCGCGATTGGCCTTGAGAAAGCGACCATTGCGCGTATCCTGGCAGGGTGTCTCCATAAAATATGAATAGACATCTGTATTGATTAGCGTGCGCGTCATCACTTTGCGCATTATTTCGCCCATATTGTTCAAATCGATTAGCATATTGGCGAATGCCTCGCACGAATATGAGGTGACGGCATGCGCCTGCAATGAGGCATCGCTATGCTCACGAAAATGCTGCAGCAAGCGGAACAGCAATTTGGGCATTATAGCCTCGGCAACGGCCAACAAATTGTTGGGCACTGGATCCCGATTGACCCGATTATTAATGCCGTGATCACTGCAGAAGCCCTCCGCCTTCATAACCGATGTATCGCCGCAATCGCAGGCGCCGCCCGCCTGTGACAAGAACATGTTGAAGTCATGGTTGGTGTGATTGCCCTTCTTGAAGCAATCGCGACATATGGACATGCATGGCGAAATGCCGCAGGTGCGACAGCGATACGCCACCACGTGGGGCACCCAGACCAGGCCGCACTTCGCATGGTTATCATAGCTGCGTACTGCAAAAGATACCGAACAATAAAAGGTTTTATTAGCAATTGTATGTTGGGCTTTCGGTGTCTCTTTAGCACATTATCGATATTAACCTAGATATCGATATATTAAATTGCTGCGATATGTTATCGATTAGATACACCAGAGGATAATGACAAGCGCGAGAGTAGCTTTTTAAAATAATTTACATTTTCAATTTTAGTAGTTTTATTCTCACTAAGGCGTGTTATTTTGTAACTAGAATTGAATTAAATTATTTCTGATTATATCGTAATGCACGTGAGCGATATTAAAATGTTTGAAATGCTCCTAAGATACAAAATATTCAAGTTAAAGGGCTGGGTTTTCTACTATAACCAGAATGATCGACATTTAGTGAAATCTACAAGATGTAGAAACTAAAACCGAGCAATATTGCTTTGCAATATGCATTGGTATATTCAAAAATAGAAAATACATATAGAAATGTTAATTTATCAGCCAGTTTATAAATGTTCCCATATCCCAACAAAAAAAGTTCGGCGATGCGGTTTACGAATCGTAACAATGCACCGCGTTGAGGTTCGGGGCTGGTGAAGCCTGTTTTTCCTGTTGGTTTGACTCATTTTGAACACGAAATATGGTTCTTTTTCTTCTTTTCTCCATAGAAATGGTTTTTCTTTTTCGAAATTTGGCAACACTGGCCACGATAACCAATTCGTATTGCTCGCTGGGCGCGATCAGCTTACCCCACCCAGAGACGCGAAAGCGTTCGTTGTTGTTGATACGGTCGTTTTATTGATTTGATTAAATTCCAAAAATAAATATGATGCACTCATTGCTGCTGGCATATTTAATGTTTTGCTTGGTTGCGTGACTTGTCTTTGACTTTTGTTTGCCTGGGCCTCGCCAAAAAGGTCAACCTAATGCGGAAGGAAACCCATTGAAAGCGGCAGAACTAGCAACAACAAAAATAATATCAAGAACAGTTAACGCAATGAAACAGTAAAGTTGATTGACAATTTTGTGAAATGGTCTGGCAATGGCGATCGACAAGCTGCCATGCAACTCTGCGTGTGTTTCTCTTCCACTTGCTACCGTGTCCCGTGTCCCCATCCGTTGTCATGCTGAGCACAAAATTGTTTTTTTTTTTTTTTTTGACAACGTTCGACTCAACGGCCATTTGACGATTTTCTGTTTCTTTTAACGAATTGAATGAGCAAATTCAATGCGCATGCATATGTATACGTGTATGTGTGCAAGCAACAACAATAACGGTCAACAAGCAATTGCAAGGCCCAAAAGAAAATAAATACATAAATAAAATAAACTAAACTAAAAGTAGAACAAGAGCGAGCGAGCGAGCAAAATGCATGCAGATTGCACCGTGGTGCCAAAGCCGGCATTTGTAATGTAAATTCGGTTGTGTGCGATTTTTATGGAGCTTTCGCTGTGTATCGTGTGCTGCTTGCACTGTGCATGAAACATGGCGTGTCAACAATTGTCAAATCAACAACAATGACGGTCAATAAACTTTTCCCAGTGTACCCCACCGGGCATGTGTGTACAGAGATGTTAGCGAGTCTCTCTCTCTGTGTATGTGTGTGTGTGTGTGCGTTTGTGTGTGTTTCCATGGCACTGGCACGTAGCGTTTTCATTTGCAATTTTGCAATTGTTTGAAATGATTTCTTTTTTGCACATACAGATACACACAAACACACACACACACACACACAAGCAATCAAATGTATGTAGCTTCTTGCTAAATTAAAGCAAAAATAATGTATAAAAAGAGAGCAATGCAGCGCTCTCTTTCCGCCGCCTTTGACAAGGGTGGTCACTCAGTCGCATTTTTTCACACACACGCATACATATGGGCACAGACGCAGCTGCGTTTATTTGGACTGATGCTGCGGAAGCATTACGCAAGGCAAACCGAACAACAGCTGACAGGCACAAGGTGCAACAGCTAGCCATGCGCGTGTGTGCGTGTTACAAATGGGACATCGTCCATTTGGGGGCTGACAATGTTCGCGACGCATGCTGCCTGGCACAACAACGCACAACGCAACGTAAATAGATAATATGCCAGATTTAATTTGTGCTAAATGGGCTTAACTTAACGAATGGGACACTGATTCTCTCGGTGCGTGTGTGTGTGTGTGTGTGAGTTTGATTAGGCGCTGTCTGTATGTAGCTTAAGTGTTTATACGTTTGTTGTTTCTTGTTACCATGGCGTTGCACTGTCACGCTGCTTGCACCTTGCTCTTGCTTGCGTGCCATATACCATGCCCTACAACCATTTCACACACACACACACACAAAGCGGGCGCACAGGTATGCACACCAATACACACGCTCACATAGCGAATTTCAGGGGCAACGACTTGCGCGATCAGCTGCTTAGCCCTGGCGCTAACGATACACATATCGCTATGCAACTTATCGATAAATTGAACCATTCCAAATTTGACAACATTGTTTTAGACGATCTGCGCCTGCCACTATTTGCTCGCTATGTCTGTTTATCTCTAACGGTGTATCACTTTGTTTTGGGTACTCACCAATTTTGACAAACTCCTTGGGTGTGCGACCGCCAGCAATAAGCCAGCGTATCCATTCAATATTGTCGGGATTATCAATGGGCGTGCCAGGATTAAAAAGTGTATCCATAATGGAATCCAAATCGGGCGTTGGACTGCCACGGCAGCATTCCGTATTAATTAGCGCGGCCACCTCCTTGCGGCTGCGCAATATAAACGATGAGGTGCCGAAAAAGAAGCTTGGCTTGGCACCCGCATTCCCAGCCCCGGCATCGTTGAGCTCCTCCTCATTCGCCTGGCCACCGCCTCCTTCTCCTCCTCCGCCGCCGCCGCCACCACCGCCGCTGCTGCTGCTGCCGCGTGCGGTGCTACTTTGTGTGTCCCAATCATGAAATGGCGAATTGCCGGCTGTGCCAGCATCTACGGTAGCATTGCGTGCTGTGCGCGGTGCGGCGTCTCCGCCGCTGGCAGCGCTGCTTGTACTGCTGCTGCTGCTGCTGCTACTGCTGCTGGCCACATTCGCCAGCTGAAATTGCTGCGGATATGCCTCGAGCTCATCCAATTCGATGCGATCGCGATTGCCCGCCCGTCGTCTGTTCTCCGGCTGCTGCCCATCGTCGTCATCATCATCGATACTTATATCAGCATTGGATATGTTGTCATCTTCATCCATGCTGCTATATAGTTATGTGTTGTATTGATATCGCTGACGTCGTTGCCCGACCTGCTGCTATCGCCTATCGCTATCGCTATGTGATATTCTTGCTTTTGGCTCAAAAGGCAGACGACTGCAAATGCCGCTGCCGCTGCTGCTGCCGCTGCTGCTGCTGCTGCTTCTGTTTCTGCTTTGCTTTGCTTTGCTTTGCACGTCTCAGCTCAGAGTTTAAATTGCCTTTTAGCGTCTTGTTCGTCGTTGTCTCTCGTCTTGCGTTTGCTTGTTTCAAACAAGTTTTCTTTTTTGGTTCTTCTTCTTATGCTGCTGCTGCTGCTGCTGCCTCGTTTTACACTGCGGGATTTTTGAGTTTGGCTTGAAAATTGCCAAAAAGAAAAAAAAAAAACAAAAAAAAAAAACACTGCTGCCTAGCGCTTCAAAGGTTTTTGTTTATATATATATAAATATATATATTTAATGTATGTAAAAGAAATTTGAAAATTTTTGGTGCAACGGCTGCACGCTCGGATTACGAAAAAAAAAATACAAAACAAACACACACGGAAAATTTAACAGCACCAAAACACTTGACTCACTATTGCTTAGCTTTTTTTTAGCCGCTTCTCACATCTCGCTCCGGTTCTGCTTCAGCTTCTGTTTTCGGTTTCTGCCTCTTGACGTTGCTTGCCCGACCTACTATTATCTATGAACATCCTATGAGAGCTTATGCGCTGCTTTGGCAGGAGAAACACGAACACATTGTGCACATATATATATATGTATATGTGTATATATATTGAACGTAGGTCGGACTGCCACTTAACAATTTGCACGATGTTTTATCGAGTTTGCAAATTTCTTATTCACACACATGCTTACTACACAAACACACACACACACACGGACGCACACGCACACACAAATATATGTATATAACCAAATATATTATTCGTGCAATGAACTTGCCAATTACAATATCAGTTACTTTTGCTCATTGACGTTAGCTCGTGCTTTATATTTCATTCGTATTTGTATTATCGTTTTTGTGCCCACAAACGTGCTTGATTTCGTCGGATTTCGCTTGCTCTTGTGTGTTGAAATTACACAGTCTCTGTATATGTGAATTTTATCTCTGCAATGCTATGTGGTTCTTGTAAAACTGCCAGTCACAGCGATGCGTTGGCAAGCACAAGAAGAAGAGCGCAACAATGTTGCTAGTAATCGATAAGCAGTGTGGCATTAAGGTATCGAACAGCTGTTATGTTCTCCGTTTTTTTTTTATTTAACCAAATTTTAGGTAATTTAAAATGCCTTCAAGTAGTGCACAAAATTAAGGCACATAGCACAATTTGCCAAAAAAATAATTTATGTTATGTATGTACGATAACATTAACCGATAACTATATCGACTGTAATTATCGGAATTCGACAACAACAACAAATAAAAGTACCCAAACAATTAGGCATTTTTGTCAGTTTTGCAATCCAAATGAAATATAACAAGTCATGCTTAAATCGTTTATTACTACATTATAAGATGTATTTATTTATATGTTAGAGTTAGCGCTTTTGTATTTTTCTTTTCGTTTATACATCAACGCACACAGCTAGTGTGGCATCCATAACAAACCAAAACAGCACGAAATGTGCCGTACACTGGAGCGCTTTAGAGACGGCGACCGCGACGACCACCCTTCCTGCGTGTAGAGTCCGAAGGGATGGGTGTCACATCCTCGATACGACCAATTTTCATTGATGAACGAGCAAGGGCGCGCAGCGCCGACTGGGCACCGGGTCCGGGTGTCTTAGTCTTGTTGCCACCGGTTGCGCGCAATTTAATGTGCAAAGCAGTGATGCCGAGGGTCTTGCACTTCTCAGCCACATCCTATAAGCAGAGACTTCGATTTCAAATATGCTGCGTATAGTCGAATTGTTCAAATGCTCGCCACTTACCTGAGCAGCCAACATAGCCGCATAGGGAGATGCCTCATCACGATCGGCTTTCACCTTCATGCCGCCGGTGACACGGGCGATGGTCTCACGCCCAGACAAGTCGGTGACATGGACAAATGTATCGTTGAAGCTGGCGAATATGTGTGCAACGCCAAAGACGATCTCGCCGTCGCGTACTTGTGGGCCAAGCTGCACCTGAACTTCCTCCTTTTGAACTTTTGCCTTTCTGGGCGCCATTTTCTGTCAGCAACTGTTGGAGGAAGGCAAAGTTCCAATCATAGTTTAGTTGCATTCATAGCACATACAAATATTACGAGCATCACAAAAACAAAACAAACAAAAAATAACAAAAAAGTAATTCTGCGACATCTGTCTCATTTTAGCACATCAACAATTCGCAGTTTCATTTTTTATTAGGCTATCGTATGTAGCACTCGTTTTATGTTTACGTTTTTTGTAAAATCTTTGAAAAGTGTATTATTTTATGCAAAATTGCAAAAGAAATCCCGAAACTAACCAATTGCGTGAACCGGATATTAAAAAAGAGAGCATCTAGGGATGCAACAATTCATTGTTAAGAGCGATGGCTAACGATATTTTTGCACGATTAATATTCGATAGACCACTCGTTTGATTGCTGCGTCCAGCTGCGCGCGTCATTTGCATTCAGACAAAATCTTGTATATAAAGCAAAAGATCCGTTAGATACTACGCATACATATGCACGTATTTAATTCTAGGTAATTGTATGCATTTATTTGTATTATCGATTATAGCAATTAAATATATATAGCAAAATATAAAAAATATAACGAAACTCCACAGCTTTATTACTCTTCCGTGGGCCTCAGAAAGACTCCCTTCTTGTCAAGATAATCATTAACGAAAGTAAAGAGTTTGTCACGGACGATATTATCGAACAGCAATTTGTGTCCAACCAAGTTACAGGCAGCTGTTTCCCTGGCCAGGAAGTGCTTTGTTATCTGCAAATGTTCGAGTTTTCAGACTCAACTTTTTCTGCCCGGTTCAGGATGACTTACATTTTCCAGATAGTGTCCGAACTCGGCATCACTCAGCCGATAGGATCGACGCACATACGTTAGACACCGTTTAACGTAATCCTTCGATTCAATTATGAAATCCATGCGATTGTTTGCGGTAATATTCGACGAATTAAGCTCCATTTTAAATTATGATCAACACAATTTAGTTGAAACAAGAACCCGCTGTCGTATCTACGTCTTAAAAAAAGTATGCAACACAAATAGTGCTGTAAAATATCGTAACGATATTCGAAGCGATCGGTGAATATCCTGCCAGACTCAGCGTCAAAAGCCCTGCCAGATCAAACTAGCACTTCGATGAGCAAAGAATGTGCAACGAACTTAAAAAGAGCACACATTCGTTAACTTGTACTAATACAAACAATCGGTAACAGGCCCGAAATTTACATGTAAATCAAAAAGGAAATGCCACTTCGAATTTGTTGGTTCAATTGTCACATAGACAAGCCAAGAACTGCTAACAATGTGGCATCTTGCACCAGTCTGATAAGCTGGCAATCTCTCAACATAAAGAACTGCACGGCTGTGACGTCATTGCTGCTGATGAAATAATTGCAGTGCTGTCCGTACAGTGTTGGTATAATAAATGTTGCAAGTTTTAAAACAAATTTACATAATAAAGTGTTGAGCCTTGCTGCCAAATTCTCAGTTGTATCTATTAAATCAATGCAAATTATATCTAATTAACTCTATTTTAAGTGAACGACTTTTTGTAATATAAGATTGGTGCTATTAAATGCAGTGCAAATTTTAAATATTTAAACGTTAACCAGCTCTAAAAAACGAATATGACTGAGAAATAAGTGTTGTTGTTTACATGAGCTTCGAGAACAACAGTTATCGAGTGTGTGTATAAAGTGTACATAGAAAAGAAAGAGATAGATAGCATTTTAAACATAAAATAGAAAATAGCTTAGGTTTTGTTTTTTTCGTCATTTATAAGTACGAATTTTATAAGAGGGTATATTTTTCTGGGATCTTCGAGAATAACGGTTAAGCATATTACACACACAGAAAGTAAAGAAATAGGCGTTTAGATGCAAAGTGAAACTTAATTTTTGTTTTACATTTTATTGTACTATTTTAAAGAACAGTTGAAGGGCTTAAGCAATTTGTATCATTATAAAATGTTGCATATTATTATGTAAATTACACGACAACACATGAAGACGCGTAATGAGAATGGTTTTTATAATGATCATTTGCGAGCAAAACACAAGGAAAAAACAAAGAACATATAGAATACATCAGCAGATTTGCGGGGCAAACTGAACAAGCGCTTTAATGCGACGCAAAAGCGCGGTATTAAAGTTTTTGCATTTCAAAGAATATTCTTCGCTGGCAGTGATTAGTTGTGTGCAGAATGTTTCATTGAAACTCGAGATAAGCATTTGCTTCAGCTGCGTTATCTCGTCCTGAGAGGCATTCAGTACGGACATGTTGTTGGGATCTATAAGATAACAGAATGTCATTGTTCATTATAATTTTTCAGTATCCAAGAAAATGTGAACCTACCCAAACAGGTTTCGTTTATGGAAGTGCGATTCTCCTGGGAATAGATGACCGCATTGCGGAAATAGAAATCCAAATGTATCCAGAGCAGATACAAATTCTGTTCGGCTATAAAAACGGCCAGCAGCAGTTCGTTGTGTTTCTCATTGTGGCGTTGGCTTAGTTCCAAATAGTTTTGCTTGCCTGCAGAAAGCAAAAAATTGTTAGATGTCTCTCCATATACAGCATATGGGATCTATTGTATAGCTTACCGCTGGGTCCGAATGTTATGTTGGGCAGGGAGGCGCGCTGCTGCACCAGATTGTCGGCAATTGATTTTTGTGACAGAAAATAGGCAATGGAACCTTTCAGCTGATTCAATATGATCTGCATGACGGCGGTCAGTTTCTTGCAATCCGATTTGCCCGACCTACAATGGGATGCGAATGGATAATTAATTTGCAGATTTGCGGAATGGCAGAAATGTATCTTACAGCGGTGTCACATCGTTAATCATGGTTGTGATCAGATATTTGGAGGTGATGCCGTCCCGGACATGGCTGGTTACGGCATGGCGGCAGAACAATGATAGATTGGCGGTTATGTCTAAAAAGAATTTAACATGCTGGCTCTTTTGCTCCTCGGACAGGTCCGGCAGATCGGTCTGGGTGCGCTCCTGATGCAGCATGCGTCGTATGGTCGCCTCATTGATTGTGAAACGACCAAATACGACAATCATCAGCTGTTGCAGCCGGCTCAAGCGATTGTTCATCTCGACATCGTGATGGATATTGAGGCACTTCTCAATTGTGGACACATCGTAGGTTGTGGTCCGGGCAAACAGATTGGTGACCGTGGCCAACAGCTTTAGGTAGCCCAAATGCATAAATGGCGATGCGGCACGCAGCATGCCCTCAATCATTTCAATGTGTGCGAACAGAAAATTGAGCACCTGCAACGAGGCGCTATTGTTGCTAATGCCGAGGGAATCAATGATGCTATCGCATAGCGATAATGCCGGCATCAATATGGAACGGAAACGTGCATCGATGGCTGGCATAAAGTTGCCAGGAACATTACGCTCCAGTTCGCTGGCCTTAATATCTGGCTGCATATCATAGATGCTCATATTGGAGAGGACGCCGAGCGCACCCTCGGCTAGGAGCAGGGTGGCGCCCTGATGTGTTTGCGCCATTTGCGTTAGGAATGCCATGCACGATTCGTATACAAAAAGCGGCCTCAGATTATGTGGCATTGGTTTGAGCACCTCGCGCAGCTGCTCATCCGATTTGGCCAGACTGCTCAGTATATGCTTCAAATAGCCACGTTGGGCAACCGTGTCGCTTAGCGTGCCGAACGCGCGCAGCTCGGATATGAGGTCCAGACAGGAGAGCGCCAGCATGCTGCACACATCGTGCCCAGTGATGGCATCATGGCAAATGGTGTCAATCAATTTGTCGCCCATGCTGCTAATTATCTCGGCGGCCATTTCCTTTTGGAACATCTCCCCGCCGTCTGGGCTGCGCTGGCTCTTATAGCCGTCCGTGCGGGCTAAAAATCTGAGAATTGGCCAAAGCATTAGCTGGCTAACATTTTGGCCATAAGCCATATATAATTAATTATACTTACGTTTCATCGTACTCCACTTGCGCCTCGCTCCGCACACGCTTCACAATGCGCAGGCAATTGAGCAGCGAGGCATACAGATTGATGCTTAGCTTCTGTGACTTGACCTCGCAGGTCATGATCCAGTCGATGAGGCGCTTTAGTATGAAGCGTAAATTGCTGCTGCTGCAGCTGTTGCTGCTCATGTTATTGTTGTTGTTGTTATTATTATTGTTGTTGTTATTGATATTATTATTAATGTTATTGTTGGTATTGTTTGTGTTGTTGTTGTTGTTGTTGCTGCCGCTGCTGCTGCTCCTTCTTTGGTGCGCATTCCTCTGGCTGCTGCTCTCCACAGAGCTGGGCATATCACTAAGACAAACGACATTGCCGTGCTCGTCAAGGGAACGCTGATCCTCCAGCTGATAGTAACAATGCCTCAAATTGGCGGACAGCAAGAGCATCGTATCCGTTACCTGTATGGAGATCTTAATCAACGGCTGCTGTGGCTCCACCTTCAACATGATCTTCTCGATGATATCGATAATATGCTGTTTGCGCACACTAACCGGCAGCACAGTATCGGGCATTATGCTGAACAGCACCTGGACAAGATTACACCAGGCGCTCATATAGCTATAGGTGGCAAATCTCTGCATGCGCACCCCATTCAATTGGATGGCATATTGCAGCAGCACGGTTATCTCATTGACAATCGACTTACGCTGACCGCTGGCAATGGTGCTCTGCACATGACGCAGCTCATCATGGAGTATATCATGGAGCTTGTGTATATTTATCATGCCGGCGCCACCCATGCTGCCCTTTGCCTCGCAATCGACCAATAAATTGCTCAACAGGCGCTCATCGAAAAACTCCAGACTGGGCTGGACGAGAGTTTGCGTCTCCAGCGTAAGGCAGTCAAGCAAACGATTCACATGGAGGCCCAACGATGTTGTCTGCAACATTGTACGGCCGGCGGGCAGCACATCACCAAAATGGTTGGTTGACGGCGGTGTCAGCATATTGTTGCTCATTTCCAGCGGCAAACTGTGACCGTTGCGTTGCGTCTCCGAATTGACGGCCAACAGGATGTCCGACAGCAGGGCATAGCGTGTCGTCTGGCCGTATGTGGCGGCCAATTTCATTTCAATTGATACACAGTTCATCAGATGGCTCATCGCATGCAAGATATTATCCTCGCCAAAATGACGGAACGGCATTGCGGTTAAATGGCGCAACAGAAAGTCATTGCAGGTCAACCGGAAGTAGCGTAAAATCGCCTCCGAGGTGCGACGATGGGCGCACAGTCCATGAAAGAGATGATAAATCCGTTCGACTATGTGGGCCGTGTGCTCGCAATAATCGTCGCTGTGGCGCTGTTGCTGTAGGAGAGAGGACCGACTGTCAGAACACATAGTCAAAACTTGGTTAGTAGCCAGACCTACCTCTAGATAATGCTCGAGCAGCAGGACCAGCGAATTGATGCAGGAACAGTTGACGTCGAGACCAAGTTGTTGCTTCTCATTGCCCAGAAAGTCGCGTATTACATCGATGCCAAGCAGAAAGTAAACAAAATTGGGCATTGGCTGGCTAAGATTGACTTCGAATAGTTCAACAATGGCCTCCTTGATCTGCAGCTCAATGCGCTGCGGCTTGCGATAGTCGAGCGCCTCCAGATCCACATGCAAATCGGTCTCATTGAGATTGCCATCGAGCGGATAACCAAATTGATCAATGCCAATAAATTGATCCGTCAGCTCATCGTCATTTAGCGGCGAGCCGCGACGCATATCCATTTCGAGGCATTCGACAAATCTCTGACGTATCTCCAGCTTCTCGGTGCTGCCATGGGCATACATATTCAATATCTGGCTGACCACATCCGGCAGCATGCTGACCGCGCTCAGGATCTTAATTGAGGCCAATGCATGACGCGGCAGCCAACTGTTGAAGGTAACAAATTTGACAATATTGAGCACATAGTCGGGACTGCGGCTGCGCGGATTCAGATCGAGGAGCATGCGATTGAGACCAAGCAACAATATCGAACAATTTGCCGTTGCGTGCGCCTCGAAGAAAGCATTCTGTTTGGCCAGGGCCACCTCGAGCAGCAGCAAGGCATAAAGTGCGCACTCCTCGAGCAACTCCTTGCCATTGAATTGATTGTAATCGTCGAGACGTTCGCGTGCCTCCTCGATAATGCGCAACACCAGACGCAACATATCCGATTTGACTTGCAGCTGGAGCATTATGTGATAGCCCGGATACGCGTGCTCATCGCGTTGTTCCAGAAAATCTGAGGCCTTCGGCCGATAGCTGGCCAACAGGAAATACAATAGCTTCAGACATTTGGTGCCCACAGCCCATTTCTCGGTGGGATCCTTATACGCACGATTGTAGAACTTCAGCAATATGGATTCGACGACAAATTTCAAATATGGATCATAGCCGGGCTTGCGCGGACCACAGCCTAGGCTGCGCGGCATGTGTGTGGTCATCAGCGTATACAACAGCTGCAGAATGCCGCGGGTCAGCTTGTACGTCTCCAGGCGGCTCTCATTCTGATCAATTTCTTCGGCCAGACTAAACTCGGCATGGGCACTGGACACCATCGTAACGGTGGGTATGATTTGCGATTCCTCCAAATGAAACCAAATGGTGCGCGCCGTCTCCTTGGACCGACTGAGCGCGGCCAGCGTAAACAAAATTTCGCCCTTAAGCATTACCGGCGTCGAGCAGGCCACCAGGCCGAGCAGCACCTGCGGCGTCTGCCAATTGGCCTGTTCACAGAGCATAATTCGCGAAATTTCATCATTCTCAGCGACGGCCTGCATAATGCCCATCACAGCAGCCATGTGTTCCGTTTCACGTGGCGTCATATTACGTGGGATGCCAGTGCTCCGATAAATCGAATCTCCGGCATTGGCCATGCTGTCAAAGTCGGTGCGCATGTTGCTGTAAAGGATAAAACAAAATATTAACATAAGACTGCCGTATATCATTTCATATTAATATAGAGAGATATTAATTCTACACCACGTACTTGAAATAATTGTTGAGCGCATTGAAGAAATGATCCCAGCTGACGGCATAGGTGGACGACAAGTTCTGCGAATTCTTGAGCAGATTGAAGGCGCAGCGTGCCGCAAATTCAGTGCGTGTTAGGCCAGCAATCATCTTCAAGTACGATCTGAACAGAGTTTGCGGCAGCAGCTCGCTGGCCAAGCGTATAAACTTGAACAGTGAGACGGCGCGTGAGGTATTTTGAACATAATTGGCGACACCGTTAGCTGTTGTTGTGTCCGTTGGACCCCAATACTCGTTGCATAACGTGATGGTGGCACGTTTATCGCCATACAACTTGGCCACGCACAGCATCAGCAGCTCAAAATTGACATCCAGATTTGGCGGCGGTTCGAGCCCTTCATTCTGAAAGCTAATCACCGTGCGAGCTGTCTCATCCGCACGACCGCGTAGCTCCGATACCTTGGCATGCATGAAATCTATAAAATCCGTGATGAGCAGGTGTAGGCGACGATAAATGAATTCGGTTCTGCAATGCATTATTATATTAAGAACTTCAATAATTTATCCAATAATTAGCTGATTTCCAGAACTCACGTATAGACCACATTTTTCTCCAGTAGCTGGCGATAGAAAAAGGTAAAAACATTTGCCGCCAGCGCCTCGTCAATTAGCTGCTCATCCCGATTGATTAGAGCGCCAGCATTTGCCTGCAGTTCGCTTGGCGCTTGTCGCAGACTGGCCAATGTCAAACCAAAGCTATACTTGATAATGGCATCCAGATGCTGAGTCTGCCAGCTGTTCTGCGCATAGATTGCCTCATAGAAACACTTGGCATAATCGGGATCGCTCAGTATGGGCAGGCGTGCCGTATGCGGACTATCGCATTCGGTTATCAGCAGCACGGAGGTATCGTAGGCATAAAGCAATGCCATCAGCATGATTAGGGTTACGTCGTCCATGTTGCCGGCGGCATCGGTTGACTTCGTATTGGCCAAATGCTGCAGCAAACGTATGGCAATGTTTTTGGGCAGGCCACGCTGAGCGGACCAATGGAATAGGGCCATTGCCAAGGCTTTGCGTGTGTCCTCATAGAGGGCCAGTACCTGATTCTGATGCTTCTTTGAGCCAAAGGCTCGATTTTTGGTCAGTAAACTAATCTGTGTAAATGTGTTCGTTGTTTAGCCTTCTATGTAGAGTTTAATATTGCAGAGCTTATCATATTTACCTCCCTCTCCATGTCCATTTCGGCCAGCAGCTCCAGCAGACGCCCAAGTATGTTGGAATCTTCTACAAGATTCTGGCAGTAGTTGTTGATCAAGGCGGTCATCTGCAAATTAAAAATTCATTAAATTATCATATATTATATTAATAAATTTATATATATGTCGCTCACCTCTCTGGGCAGTTCGGTGCTCCAGGAAACGCCGCTCACAGCCTGAAACATGTCGCGCAGTGTACAAGTGATTGCCTTGCGACCATCATAGTAAAGCAATACCGCGACCAGACCGCGCGGTAAGCCCGGATGATGCACCTGTTGACGCTGTGCCGTGCATAGCAGCTCCAAGGCAAATATCTCATCCAAATCAAACATATCGGACAATATGATGGCCTCATCAATTATTTCCTGTGAGAGTTCCACTTTACGCGACTGCCCTGCCAGCATGACACCCTCCAGTAGCGCATTGCGCAAGTGTGAACGGCTCTTCTCACTCTTCGGCTGCGCCCCAGTGAATCATGGACAATGGCAAAGGGGTTGAGATGAGAGCGGTTTAGGTTATGTTGTTTGTCAGTATTTTGAGTGTCTACTTACCGGATTGCGCAGAAAATTGGTAAAGTTCTGTTTGTACTTTTTGAGGCACAGCTCAAAATCGGCCGTGACCTCATTGGGATTCCTTATGGCCAACTGGCATATATCGTACAGACGCTTGTACGGCGTCCACATGTCCTCGAGCACACCACCTAATTGAGGCGACATGTACATTTTAGTTATTTGTATTATAAACTATAACAACTACATACCATCCATTTTATGTTTGTTTTGTGTTTGTTTCGCTTTAACTCTCAGATAACTGTAAACAAAGCTTAAGCATAAAACGCGGCAAATATCTTTACGAGCGGCTGCTTGCCGGCTTGCAAAACTAACAATGTCGATTAACGATAACGATAACTGTTGCATGCAAAGAAAAAAAAATAATAGAAGCAGAAAAAGAAACCGTGCTAAGCGCACAGCACAGCTGATTATGCCATCTCTAGGATCCAGTGTAAACAACAAAAACACATACATATATTGCGCTATTGTTTTTGTTTTCGTTGTTGTTGTTTTTGTTTTAACAAACACCAAACGATGGCCAAGTTAAATGAAACAAAAATACCAATCACCGAATTTCTGGAGGCCTACAGACGCCAGCCATGCCTCTATAATTCCTTGCTGGACACCTACAAGAATCGTGTGGCGCGTGAGGAGGCTTACGAGGCGATAATCAGGACGCTCAAAATACCGCAATTGACTGTGCTCGATATTAAATTGAAAATCAAAAGCGTACGCACCGTTTACACAAAAGAATTAAGGATTTTAATGCGCGAAAAGGAGCTGGGCAGATGTTATGAGCCAAAGCTGTTTTGGTTCAAGCGCGCCGATTCGTTTCTGCGCGCCGTTTCTCTCTCGCACTGTAAACGCGTAAGTCTCCATATAATTGGCATAATATATACATATATATATATATATATATGTATGCATATTCACTATATTGATTTAATAGGTCAAGAACAAGGATGCTGATGTGGACAATACAAGCGTAGACATCAAAAAGGAAGCACCACAAAGAATGCTGCTCAACGCTACTGCGGAGCTAATTGAGGATGCGTTGCAGCAGCGGCAGCAGGGCGAGGATGAGGATGAGTTGGAGTCGTCGGTGGGACAGCTGACAGATGATGCCTATAACACAGAGTTGAATGAGCATCCAACAAAAACGACCGTCAGCACGGGCACAAACACAAACAAGCCGCCAAATGCGAGCAGTCAAACGGATGAGTTGCCCAGCAATTGCTCCACACGTGCGCCCAACAAAAGCGAACTCATCATCGATGACTCCACGCTGTGCATCATGGAACAAGAACAACAACAACAGCAGCAGCAGCAACAGCAGCAGCAGCAGCAGCAAACACAACATCAGCAGCAACAGCAGACGGCGCCACGTAAATTAAAGTACATGACTTATGGGCAAAATCATCAGTCACAATCCCAGCAGCCACATCAGAGGCTGTCGACGCCGTTTGCTTCACCATCGCCGTCGCAGCAGCTGGAGTTGAGCTCAGCCGCAAACCATGGCGTGTGCTTTACTGGCTCAAATGGAACTGGACAGGTTGCCGGCAGCGATGATGATTTGTTTGTTTTTGGTCAAAGCATTGCCTCACAGCTGCGCACAATACCCGATCCCTATTCCCGTTCCGTTGCCAAGCTGCGCATCCAACAGGTCCTGTTTGAGGCCGAGACGGGACAGAGCAGCGAAGCAGTCAGTCCACACTTGCATGGCTTTTAGCCAGGACAACTAAAACAAAGTGGACTCTAAGTCATGAATATATACAGATGTACATAATAAACATATTTATTTAATTAGATTAATTAATGTACATTTTAAATGCATTAAGCTTTTAGAATTTTTAACTCATATATCTGTTCGACCTACCTTTAACTATATTAAATAGTATTTATTTATTTTGATATGTATGTATATTGATAAACATAAACCAAATATTCGAATTAAGTAGTAAAACTCAAAACATTTCCTTGAACGTTTTTCGCACAGTTTTTAACATATAATTAATTGAATTTTTAAATTTACCATATGTCGTATATATAGTATTTACGTTTGTACATGTTCTTATTAGTACTATGAGCCAAATATTGTAATTAAGTTATTAAATTATTCAATAATAAAATCTGCAACTTAAAGAATGAACAGAATTTGGATTTTTGAAAGGCTGTTGTGAAATAATCGTGAAATTCAAGAACTTAATGCAAAATGGCTAATTGTTCGAAATTGTTTCAAAGTAGGCCCTGATTTTGCTGACTGTAACTCAAATAATTTCGGCTGACTTAAATTTGCGCTCGTAGTAAAGGATTATGTTATTATATCGTGTCCATACATCGATAAATATTCAAGCAGTTCTAACATATTGTGCAGCCCTCAGTTCGCTAAAAAACAGTGTTGCATATCAAATCCGTTTGGTGAATGAGCGAATTCAGAAGAACGGAACCAAGTGGGCCACATTTAAATAATTATATAAAAATGTTGTAAGTTTTGGCTAATAATTATGTGTCAATTTAGTTTTATTTTTACACAAACCCAAATTATAATAACTATATAAATATATAAATATATATATATATATATATATTTACATAAGCTTTAGGTGCCGGCTCAAATTAACCAGTCAGCTCTATGCCATCCTGATATGTAACGAGAATAGAAATTGCGCATAAATCCAGCAACTAGCAATTGTTTTGTTTTTGGAGAAAAGTTAATATTTTAAAGGGTAAGCAAAATAAATCAAAAGAATTTCCCATTTACCATACTCATTCAAAAGAACACCTGCGCTTGGTGAACAAACTAAGCTCGTTCGCATTGAAGTAGTTCACACAATCGAACCAATTTGTTCACGAGCTGCCCAAGACGACAGTGTTGTTTCTAAAGTATAAGTGTGTAAGTGCGTGCTGAGGGAATTTTACAAACTGAAATTACAATTGTCAAACCAAATAAGAACGTTTTTAGATCGAAAATAAGATAACAATAATAGCAGCAATATGCTGCGGTTTAATGTAAATGTAAGTATCGATCATTAATTTTTTATATAAATGCATTTACGCACACACATGCATGCTGCATTGTGTAGCCTGTGGCAATCTCTTTTTTTTTTCTTTTTGTTACATTTTTTTTTTTTTTGCGACTACACGATTATTTTGATATTTCTTCGGCACTTTCGGTTTTTCTTTTTCTTTTTTTTTGCACTTCGTGCTACAAAATTTGCCGTCGTGTGTGCGAGAGTGTGCGTGTGATGGTTTCGGTGAAAAAAATACGCAAAGGACCATTAAACTGTATAAAAAATTAAGAATAAGCAGGTAAAATATGCTATGCTGCTGCTATTGCAAAATGCTGTGAAGTGCTCGCTCATAATATATATGTATGTGTATGTATGTACATATGTACGTGCAAACATGCATACATCGTTGTATGTGTGTGGATATGTCCGACCAAAAAGGCATTTGTTGCCATTGCTTAAAATGCAACAACCAAATATTGTTGCTCATAGATTTCTTTATATGCAATAGCTTTCGTGAAATACACGGACACAAAACACACGCAACAAAACACTCACACTCACACAACACACATACGGACAAACACATATGCATTTGTTGCTGGTCTTTTTCGGCGAATTCGTTTTTCTGTTGTGGTTGCAGCTGCAGCGGCCGCGACCGCGGCGACGTCGACGACGACGACAACCAACGACGACGACGACGACACCTAAGACTCGTTGTTTATTCTTAAGTGTGCACCGCAATAGGAAGAAATTAGTAGAAGTTATAAACAAGTTGTGGCTTACATAGTAATGACTGTCCTAAAATGCTCCTTATTTGCGTCTGTTTGTTTGCATTATTCTAAAGCATATAATAGGGGCATTCCTGCAGTTTACTAAGCTGAGAAAGGGATATAAAACGATTTGTTTATTTCATAGAAAGCCGCCATTAATGGCAACTAATACCCAAACATTGTTTTGCTTCCCTTAAAAGTTCCAAATTAAAAAAAAAAAAAACAAACAAAAATAATTAAATTTGGTCACACGCACACAGACAAACACACAGCAAGTGGGGCCAGACTTTTGTTCCCTTTGATTGATGTCAGTTTGAATAGTGAACAGCTGACGATTATCGATAACATTTCGTCTGCATCGGCAGGTTAGGCAAGTCATTTTCTTTAATGTTAAAAATTTCTGATTATTAAAAGCAGCAGCTTCGCATTGTGTTTATTCAAGGTTCGGAGCTGAGGCAAGCAGGCAATAGCATTACCCTCTAATTGTTGTTACTCTCGCACAAACAGTGCGCGCGCTGGCGCTTTTCGCTATTTTCATATATCTATTTTTTTTTAAATATTTTTATTTTTTTTTATTTTTTATTCCTTGCCATTATCGTTGCTAGTTGGAATTCGCCTCCAATTGCATGCTGTTTGTGTTATTGTTGCAACTCGCCAGCGAAATTGAGACAATCGGCGGCGACTACGTCGACGTCGACGTCGACGTTGTTCTTCGCGTCGTCGTCGGCGTCGGCCACAGCTGACAACTGACGTCGAGCGCAGTTAGTTTTCGCGTTAATTTCATTTTGCCTGGCGGCTGCTGGTGTGTGTGTATGTGTGTGTGTGTGAAAGAGTCTGTCAAAATCGCATTTTATTTCAGTGTTTACATACACCAGTTGGGAATTATTGTGAATTGTATTTAGTTATTATTTTTTGCCAGATTGATCTAGTATTACGGCTAAGAAATGAATTGTTTTTGTCATTTTTTAATTTATACGCGGATGACATTTCTCGATTGCAGTTTATTGAAGACTTTGACGTATAAAATTTGAACAACTCGATGCAAAGCTATTACAAGCAAGAAAAATACGAAACGATAAACTGAATTTGAACGCATTATAATACGAATTAATAAGATTGAGAAGACACAAAACGCACCAACTTGATTGAACCAACCACATACGCACGGCGGCGTCGGCAGCTAACGCAGCAGCAGGCGTCAGCCATGAAGGTGGACACCGTTAAACTGAAGAAAGGCTCTTCGGAGCTAACTTCAGAATGTCGCGAACTGATTGATGAATTGACCAAACGACGCACGCGTGCCGAGCTGCTTGAATTTTTGGACACTGTGCACGTTTGGATTTATGGTAAATGTGAACTATATCATTGGATTGAAATATTGGATCGCTTTGACAAAATACTCGAGGAGGCGGCCCGCCATGTCAATGGCAATGAGTTTGTACTGCAGTGCGACACAACATTTATAGAATCGGTGAGTGAGTGCTTGATTGAATTGTTTAAATATTCAAAACAAGATACATATATGTCCAATTATTAGTTTGATGCATACAGATATATCAATTTTTTGAATTTTTCTTCTATTTTCACAGGATGTTACCCTGCTGCTGCACGTACTCAATTTCACAACTCTGCTGATTGAGCACTCGTTCTCGCGCCATTTGTACAATTCAATTGAGCATTTGACGCAACTTTTATCATCACAGAACATGGACATTGTGCTGGCCGTGCTTAATCTGCTTTACATGTTCTCGAAACGCAGCAACTTCATTCCACGTTTGCCGTTTGAGAAAAAGGAGTTGCTTATTGTCAAACTTTTCAATATCGCTGAGGTGAGTATCAATAATTCATCGATATGTTAAATGAAGTGTTGACCTTTCGCTCTATTTTGCAGCGTTGGGGCGATCCAAATTACGGACTATCGCTTAAGGACTGCTGCATTGGTGAGCCAAAGCTGGAGTTTCTTTATCAACTGTGCATCGATTATGTCGATGAGCATGGACATGCCGCACAGCTTGAAATACCTGACATGATGGATCTCTGCCAAACAGCGGCAGCACCCGAGGTTATAAAAACAATAGCCGGACAGATCTCAAAGCCCAGTGAGGCCATTAAGGTTAGCATCAATTCTATCGACTCTTGAGTACAATGATTAACTAATGATTATTCGATGTGTAAACATTTGTTAATCTTACAGATGCGCATTGCACATCGTGTGCGCCTTATCTCTGGCTTCAACAATTATAAGTTGCGTTTGCAATTTGTGCAGGCACGTCTGCAGGCAGTGTCCATATTGATATATTCAAACGCGCTGCAGGATAATACAGACAAGGTGCTCTATCCTGGCTTCGGCGAGGAGCTATGCGAACTAATCGATAAGGAGGATGTGCATTTGGTGGAAATACGCGCCGCAGTGCTGCGCACACTCACATCAATGCTACACTTTGATCGCAATCCCAGTGTACCAAGGTGAGAAAGGGGAATTGTGGGTTAAATGTCGAACACGTCTAACGATTGATGCTCGAAAAACTCACATTATGGATAGATAGTTATATATGCTGATTGTTAGCATTAGAATTAAGTTTATTTGATTAGCTTTATTGTTGTTTGGTGATTGTTTTTAAACCCATTTTTTCTTTCCCTCACCTTCTCATTTGACCTATCAACCGTTTGCTGCAGCAGAGCTGGATCCCGTTTGATGAAAATTGTTCATTATACGGGTGCTGAAAGACAGGGCGGTACGTTGCCGCTACTGGTGCGCGATTGCATCGATAATTTAACCACACATGGCCTAACGGAGCGTTATCCATTAATATTGGCCACCTCGCTATTCTCGCTGCTTTACCATCTGGCCAGTTACGAGCTGGGCGGTTCGGCGCTTGTCAAGAGCGGCATGATGCAGTCTCTGTTGCGCGTCATAAGCTGGCCCGGCGTCGATCTGGAGCACATAACATTTGTGACACGCGCTGTACGCGTTATTGATCTAATCACCAACATAGACATCGCACGCTTCCATCAGAATAATGGGCTCAATGTCTTCATCGATCGTCTCGAGAAGGAGATCAAAAGCTGTTGTCGTGCCCTGGCCGAAATTGGCATCACACTGAAGGAGTCAACGCTGCGCGACGAGCACAGCCTCACAGATAAATTGGATAGCTCGCTGGAGCAGGCAGATGATGACGGTAAGTGGATAAAATTCATAATTAACTGTTATGCTAAGCTCATTCAATAAATTTCAGATGCTGCCACGGAGAATGCATCGGTAGCCAGCGGCAGCGCATCGCCGCGTCGCGATAATTCGAGCAGCGATGGCAGCGGTAGTGCCAGCGATCATGCTCAGCGTGCGTATCGCGTCTATATGGAACACAGCGGCGGTGATCAGCCTCGAGGTGCTGGTGCTGGCACACCAGCCGGTTGGATGGATATTGGATCGCGCGGTTCGGGCATCCATGCGCTGAGCAGCCTGGCCGCAGCAGCCAGCAGTAGCAGCGGCGGCGATGCAGCTGCGCGCGACAGACCCGTACAGTATCCAGCCAATAGCTATTATGCGCGTCCGCTCGCCGAGCGCAAAGCGGAGCTGTCCTCACAGTTACCCAGCAGTTTGCAGCCAAAGAAACCATCATGTGTGACCCAGCGAGCGGCGCTGCTAAAGTCAATGTTAAACTTCTTAAAGAAGAGCATACAGGATCATGCACATTTTAGTAATATGCGCAACATTATGGAGACCAGCTTGACACAATCGCTGCGTCACATTATCGCCAATGCCGAGTATTATGGGCCATCATTGTTTTTGTTGGCCACCGATGTGGTCACCGTTTATGTATTCAATGAGCCATCTCTATTGTCATCGCTACAGGATTTGGGCATAACCAGTGTGATGCTTAAGGCGCTGCTGCAGAAGGATGTGCCCGCAACACGCGAGGTGCTTGGCTCTTTGCCAAATGTCTTCTCGGCGCTGTGCCTTAACGAGCGGGGACTCTTTGAGTTCTTGTCGTATGATCCATTTGATAAGGTATTGAAGGTTCTGCTCTCACCGGACTATCTGGTGGCTATGCGCCGACGCCGCAGCTCAGATCCATTGGGTGATACCGCTACCAATTTGGGCAATGCCATGGATGATCTTATCAAGCATCATCCATATTTGCGTGCCGATGCCACCGAAGCAATTGTGCGGCTGCTCAATGAATTGGTTCGCCTTGGCTCTGATCCCAGTTTTATATGCTGGCGTGCCAATAAGGAGAGCAGCGTGGCAAATGCCACACATAGCGCGGCACCATCAACGCCCTCGCCATCGGCTATGGTCATGGTGGCAGCTGGACCTGTGCTGCAGAGTGCTGCAGATAATAACGATAGCAGCGGCGATGATGATGACGATGACGATGAGATGAGCTCCGCATCACAGCAGCAGCAACAACAACAACAGCAACAGTCGCGTGCAGCACATCAGCAGCAGCAACAACAGCATCCTGTTGCAGCCAATCGCCCACAGCAGCCGCAGCAACAACAACAACTACAGCAACAGCAGCAACAGTTGCAGCCGCAACAGCAGCAGCAGCAACCACAACCGCAACAGCCTGAACGCGAGGCTATACCCCTAATTGATTATATACTTAATGTGATGAAATTCATTGAGGCAATCTTCAGCAACAGTCCAAATGGTGATCATTGCCGTGAATTTGTACAAAAGGATGGCTTAACGCCCATATTGCAGCTGCTATCGCTGCCCAATTTGCCGGTAGACTCGCCCGTATCAACAACATCGCAGGCCGTGGCCAATGTCTGCAAGGCCATACTGAGTCAGGCACAGGAGACTAAGGTGCTGGATGTGGCGCTCAAGCAGCTGGCTGACATTGTGGCACAACTGAAGCCATTAATCAAGCATTTCACATTTCCCGGCGGCAGTGTGCTGCTCGCCGAGCTTGTCTGTTGTCAGCGTTTGGAGGATGGTTTTGCCAATGCCGAATATACGCCCATTTTGCACAACATGAGCTTTGTGCATGGCTATGTGGTGATGTTGGTGCATCTATGTCGCAATGCATCCACCGAGATGCGAACTGTGCTGCTCAAACGTTGGGGCGCCAATCGTGAGACGGGCGTACAGCTGCTGCAACAGCTTGTCCAGCTGTATATATCGCTGGTGTGGGAGAGCACCATATTATTGAATTTATGCTCGGATGAGCCCACACAGCATCCGGATCTCATTTGGGATGAAATCGCTGCACAAATGTCAGCCGCAGCCGGCACAGCGGATCCCATGACTGAAGCCGAATTGTCGCGTAAATTGGAACGCGCTGCTGAATTTCGTACCAAATATACACCCGAAGAGCAATTTCGCTATATCAAATCGCTTTTGGCGGCAAGTTCGCGTCTGGGACGCGCCCTAGCTGAATTGCTGGGCACACTGGTCAAGCTATCGGTGGGCTCACCACAGACGCGCCAGCGTCGCATCAATGACCTCATTAGCAACATTAATAAAGTTCCTACGCCCGAGGCGCGCGAAATTGCCCGCATACTCAGCTCGATACTGGTGAATGGATTCAGTCATGAGAGCATTTTACCAAAACCGGTGCCCAAATTGAAATTAACCTTTCTCATCTGCTCGGTTGGGTTTACCGGGCCGATGCTGTTCGATGATAAACGCAGCGCCTTCCATTTGATGATCTCACAGTTTTGCGCTGAGAATGGCCTGAAGGCATTTTTCGAGATGTTCTATTGGGCCTTGTCACTGGATAATGTCTCGCAGAAATTTGTATTTGATCAATGGGCACCGCTAGATGATCTAATGCAATCGCACGAGGATGATAAACGAGATTGTCCGGAAGGAACGGGTGAATTTCTGGATGCCTGGCTGCAGTTGCTCGAGAAAATGGTGAATCCACGGGCCATGCTCGACTCACCGTACACAATGAGTCCACGTCTCAATTATATGCCGGATAGTGTGCCATTTGAGCCAATATTTTATCTCATCCATATCCATCAGCTGGCCATGCAGGCGCTGCGTCGCATCTGGTGCCGTCGACCCATACCAAATTATGGCGCCAGCATGTTTGAGACAATCCTGCTGATACTCAAACATCTAATCAAGTCACATCAAATGCTGCTCGATCGCTATCATACGCGCATGAAGGAGATCAAATTCGAGAATCTTTATATACGCAGCACCGACGATGGCCTCAATGCGGATCACATCAAAACTCTGACCGATATGGGCTTCCGTCATTATCACATTATCGAAGCGCTGCGCAGTAATGCCTCACTCGAGGAGGCCACCGATTATCTGCTTAACAATCCGGAGGCAAGTGCTCTATCCCATTCTGGACAGGGACAGACTGGGCCCGGCACCGGCACTGGTACTGGCTCAACGCAAAGCCTATCACAGGGCAGCTCTGCATCGAATGCAGCTGTTGTTGGTGATATGGACATTGATATGGAGTTGCCGGGCAGCGGTGGTGCCGCCAATGCTTCCACATCCAGTTTGGCCACAGATGTTGCCGGTGATGCTGCTGCTGCTTCTGCTGCTGCTGCTGCTGGCGCTGCCGCAACCGCACCCGCTCTGGTTGTCAAACCGGCAACAACAAGCGGCTATGATTACAGGCAATTGAAATTGATGCCGCCATTCATATTCGATCGGTTCTGCGATGAGGCCGTGTCGCGTGCCTTTGAATTCATGGAGGCCATACCGGATACAGTCAACAGTGCCGCCGATCTTATAGCGGTCCTCTACAGACGCCTCAATCAGCTGAATCGTCAGGTGTTTGTCACCAATTTTGTGCGCAACATTATACAGTGGGTGGACTTTACGCTGCAGCTATTTGAGCCGGCATCGGGGGCAGCCAGCAGCGGAGCTGCAGGTGCCCAATCCGCAGCCAACCAGCCGGGCAATGGCAATAATAGTAAGGCAGCGCCGAAACCAGGTCGTCTGGAGGAATGCCTGACAGGCATGACGGCCACACGTTTATTTGTGCGATTGAAAACATCTACATTGCTGCTGGAGGAGAACTACAGTGATATGCATCGTCCATTGGTCGAGGCCATAACCGCACAGGATGCGATGGTGTCGCTTGTTAAATTGCTCGACTGCATGAGCCAATGGATGTTGGAGCAATCGCAAATTGTGGATAACCAGGCACGTGCAACGGTGCCGCGTTGGGTGCAAAATCTGGTCGATCTCATTGATGCCATCGATAGCATCAGTCATATATTGCAGCGCAAGGCCAATATGCGTGCGGTTAGCAGTGATCTGTGGCGTTGGTATGATGCATCCACAGGCAAATGGAATGCCTATTCGGAGGCTAACAATGAGCTAATACGCAGCGCCTATGCCGCCGGCGAGCGTTGGCTACACATCAACATTGGACGACAGCGGTGCACGGTTAGCTTCAATTGCATGACCCAGGTGAGCGATGCCTCGGGCAGTCACCGTCCCGTTTATCCGGCATTGAAAATATGCGAGGCCATCAGTCAATTGCAAAATCCGAAAGCACCCCAAAAAATTGATAACATATTGAATCGTGTGGTGCGCACAGCGCCCGATGGCAATGGTACCATACAATCCGATGAGCTGGTGCCGTTGCGTCAGCTTATCAATTTCAATGAACCCGCCACAGCACCACCACCACCGCCAGCGCAGGAGTCGTCGTCGTCGTCGTCGGCTGCAGCGGCACAGGGCCAGGAGTCGGCCGGCGCCGCTGCTGCAGCCAATGATGAGCTGGGTGGCAATTATTCACCACCGCCCGCCATGACCACACGCAGCAAGTCGCGTCAGAAGAGCGCTGCCGCTGCAGCCAAAGCAAAGGCAGCCGCAGCTGCAGCATCATCTAACTCTGGCACCACCAACAACAACAACAACAGCGCTAGCCATACCACCAGCACGACGGGCACATCCGCGATACCCAAGCGCACCCAGAAAATTGTGCTGAACGAGGAGAATGTGGGTCTCAGTAAATTCGATTGTGGCTACATTATTGGCAGCATTGTGGCCCTATTGCAGCCCACACAGCTGCTGCATCACGAGACAAAGTTGTCACTGCTGCGGCTATGTGCACGACTCACGCGCAACTTCGAGAACGCCCAGGTGTTCATACGCTGTGGCGGTGTGCGCATGCTGCTCCATTTGCAGCAGTCATGCAGCTTTATGGGCTTCCCCACCTATGCCATTATTATATTGCGTCATGTACTGGAGGCGCCACCGGTGCTGCAGGAGGCAATGGAACGTGTGCTGGGCATGCGCGCCGCTGGCATTGTGCCGGTGGGTCATCGTGATCTCATCTATGTTCTGACCCAGGTCTCGACGGCGGTGTCCCGTGATCCAAAGATTTTTGTGGCCGCCGCCAAGGAGATGCTCAAGGGCGAGTATATGATCAATGCGAACAGCACCAGCAATTTGATTGATGATGGACGCGTCATGGTCAAATCCAAGTTTGGACAACAACCGAACGCAGCAGCCGCAAACACAGCCGCTGGTGCGGCTGCATCATCGGCCACACAGAAAGACCCATCACCGACCAAAGATGACATTATCGATGATCCGATGGTGCAGTCATCCATTTCTGTGCTAAAAGAGCTGCTCCTGGCACTGGTGCAGCCCTGTTGCCATTATGGCGGCACCACTCCAGATCAACAACAGCAAAATGCAGCCGAGCTGCTGCTGCCAGATCAGCCGCCAGGCGCTGCAGGCTCTATTGGTAATCCCGATGATGAGGTGAGTCCATTTCAATTCTATTATTTCGACCTGCCAAGCTTATCCTTTTATCTATTAAATCGTTAACACATATTTCTTATCCTAATGCTCCTCTTCAGTTGTCTAATGTCTCTTGATTTGCCCATCTATGTTGCAGGAAACATCGGCTACTTTGAAGAAAACTAGCGGCTCAGCGACACCATCGACTGGTGCTGGTTCTTCGGCAGCCGGCGGATCGGCGGACAAATATGAGCCTTGCTGCTGCACCTGGCATATACCGACCAGTGCACATAGCCACAACAAGCCGACATTGTCGCGTGCCACATTGCTGAAGCTATTGGCGGACACGACGCGCGCGTATCAATCGCTGGTGCCGCGCGTGCTGCTCTCGCATGTTTATGCGCCAGCGGATAGTCCGCTGATTGGCAGCGGGCCGCAAACATTTTTGGCTGTGCTGTTGGATCGCTTCCTGCCGCTAACCCAGCGTCAACATGTGCCCGAGGTGAGCACCATGGCGCGTGTGCTGCTTTGTTCGCTATCCGATTGCTATCAGCAGACGGGCGTTCAGCAGCAGGTGGCCGAGGAGCTGCATGCGGCCGTGGCACGTGCACTCGCTCAACCGGACTCGGCGGAGAAGCATACACGTCTCCAGGTGTTAATGAGCCTGTTTCCCAATCTGATTGAATCGCCCATGCTGTACGATAAGGTCCATATGCATCGGAATACCATGTACCGTGTGCTGTTGCGTCAGGGTGTCATGACCTATCTGACCAAGGTGGCCCAATATAAGGATTTGTCCAATCACAACACACTGAGCACCCTCGGCGCCATACTGCGTCCCATGGAGATCCTCTTGCGCTTCAATGTGGCCACAACAACGCTCGGCTCGAAGCGCATACTCTTTGGCGGCGCCAGTTCGGCCGCCAACGGTGCCAACAATGGCAACAGCAATGCCAACGGCCTGAGCGGTGGCAATACTGTGAGCGCCATTATAAATCGTCGTCTGTATCCCCGTCTAGCTGCACGCACCGCTGTCAGCGCCGCGGATCGCTCGAATGCCATGGGCGGTGGCGAGCATGTGCTGCGGGATATTATACGCAATGTGCTGTCGGATCGTCGTCATGCATTTGAGTTTATCTTCAATTCGGATGAGATGGCTGTGGACTCGGAGGATTCAGCACCGCAGGCTTCGTCTGGCTCTGGCGCTGGCAACAGCGGACCAGGCATCATTGGTAATCACAATGCAGCCGCCATTGATGTGGTCGATGAGCGCAGCAATGGCACTGAGGCCGCTGAACCGGCACCACCCGCAGCACCCGGCAGCGCTGTGCGTCCGGTGCTCAACTTCGATCAGCTCTGGGATGATTTCCTGCAATGCGAGGGTCTCTTTCTGGCCTCGCGCGGCCAGAACAGTGCTGGCAATGGCAATGCCAATGGTGCTATCGGTCCTACCACCGCTCAGCAGAATGGCAGCAATGCCAGCGGTACGGGACAAGCCCTTGGCGGCGTCATTGGCAGCTCCCCATCCAGCTCGGCCGTTGGCAACATAGGTGATCCACGTTTGCGCAACAACTCGGATGTCGATGTGGGCGGCGTCGGCGGCGGCGGCAACAGCAGCAATAATTCGGCTGGCAATGCCTCCGCAAATGCCGTCAATGACAATGGTTTGAGCGGCAATGGCGGCGGCAGTGGTGGCGGTGGCGGCAGCGATGGCGCCTCCACATCATCGGATACCGGTGGCGGTAATGGCAACGGTGGCAGCAGTGGTGGCGGTGGCGGCGGCGGAGGCGGCGGCGGTGGTGGTGGTGGTGTTGGACGTGGTCCACGCACTGCACGCGATATGAACGCCTCCCTGTTGGGTGATGTGAGCACAAGTGATTCAGATTCGGAGGCATCTACGGAGAATGATGAGCGCAACGCTGAGGAGGAGGACGATGACGATGATGATGAGGCCGCCGACGAGGATGTGGACGAGCATAGCGAAACCGATGTAGATGAAGAGCGTCCGCGTCAATTTATTGAAGTATTTGATCATATCTATGAGCCAGAGTCCTCAGAAACAGCATCCAACGATGCCGATGTCGATGCCGAGGATGATGACGAGGATGAAGATGAGGATGACGATGACGACGACGAGGATGATGAGGATACACGTGCTCGCAACGCCGACGATGCTGCTCTAATCGACGAAGTGCTCGCCCAAGTGAATGGCACCGGCAACAGCACAAGCACTTCGGCAGCCGCCAATTCCAATAATCGACCACGTCGCAGTGCCGCCATTGAGCCCAACGGCGGCAGCGGTGCCGGCAATAACGACAATCGCATGGATGACTCGGGCCGCGATTCCAATGCCTATTTGTATGAGCGTCTGGGCGGTGATAGCGGTGGTCATGGCAGTCATGGACACGGGCATGGACACCTGATGCCCCAGCCGCCGTCCAATTTCCGGGTGCGCATGAATAGCTCGATTGCCCTACCCCTGGATATTGATGTCAATGGCGGTGCCTCGTCCTCGTCAGCTGCAGCTGCCGCCGGTGGTGGACGCAACAATTCGGCTGCCAATTCTGTGGCAGCCGCATTGCGTTCCTCCTCCGATTCATGGATGGCACCAGACTTCAATTTCATTGGCAGAAGCGGCGCCGATGCCAATGCGGCTGACGTCAATGTGAATGCATTTCTGCCGCCCGCCATGGTTCAAATGGAACGCAATGCCGGCGGTGGAGCTACCAATAATCAGAATATGAGCAATCTGCTCGACGAACAGCCACCAGCTGCTGCCATCGGCACTGGCAACAGTGGCGCTGCCAGCGCTGGCGGTGCCTCCACCACAGCCGCCAGTCATCCCAATAATAATTCCTCGCTGTGCAACAATGGTGTGCGCCGGCGACTCCTCTATCTGGATCAGCAGTACTGTGTGTGCATGCCAACCCATCAGAATCCGACCGAGGAGACGCAAATGGAGATGTTCACCCAGGACGGTGAGTACAACGATCATCATCGATCATTGTTTGATAGCAAAATCCAATTGAAATGTACCTCAAATTGGTTGTTAGCTTTTTTTTCAATGTGCGCACATATGCAAAAATATTTCAAGTCCATTTCAACAGTTGCAATACTTTTATGCCTCTGGGCTATATATATATATATATACATATATATATATTAGTATATTCCACGTGCACCTTAAGTCGGGGTTTCTGAAAATTCCGCTCGCATGTGTGTAAAAATCGCGAAATACATTTGTGAGGAACTTTTTTGTTTACCATCCGATCCGGCTTCAAGATACGCTCTTGGATGGCAAATGCAGGTCAAAAGTTGAATAAAAGAAAGTTTATTCGGGTCTGAATTATTTTAAACCCAATTTGAAACCAGCTTTAGACCTACTTTCAATTAGTTTTGTCTGGCTTTCAATGTTAACTAACTTTTAAGATGGCCGGCTCGAGGCCAATGCTGGTCATAGCCACCAAGAAGAACCAGCGGGAGCTGGTTGTTTGTATTTAAACAATCTTCGGGTTCTTTTATCAGCAGACTCTTTTTATCGATTCTTGATTTGCAAGGCGAAACATACGTTAACCACTTGAGAATTATAAATAGTTCATATTTAACTAGGTTTTAGTTAATGTAAACATGTATTAAATTTAAATCTCTCTTATTTTGTTTGCTTGTTGCCTTTTGCCAGCGCTCCATTGGTGGCTGGAGGAAGCCAAAGCCCTGGACATGGAAAGTCAAACCGATGCATGCCTCTATGCGGCACATTTCCTGCTGCCGCATTTGATTAAAGAACTGAAATTGGCTCATCAGCAGCGCAAACAGGAGGAGGCCAATCGTCAGGCTTCGGCAGCAGCTACTGCTGCTGCCATAGCTGGCGCCTCCAATTCTGGTGCTGGAGCTGCCGCTGCAGCAGCAGCTGGAGCTAGTGCTGGTGCCAGTGCCGGTGGCGGTGCTGGTGCTGCCAACACTGCCGCCGCCGCGGCGCCCGCTGAGCCAGGCGCTGCTGCGACAGCTGCAAATCCAAATGCAAATGCAAATGCCAGTGCAAGTGGAAGTACCAGTGTTACAACGGGCATGAACAATGTCAACAGTTGGCTATCGAATTCCGCTTCGACAACCACAACCAGCAGCAGCAACAACAGTAGCAGCAGCTCAGGCGCGATAGCGCCGCCACCACCACCGCCGGGCACGGCAACAGCAGCAACAACAACAACATCGGCGGCAACCAACAATTTCCGAAGTTCGATACCCCGACTGATTCCATCGATGCAGTTCATGAATGCCGCATCTCTGGCAACGGTGACGACAGCAACGACTCCATATGGCGGTAGCATTGTAACCGCCAGCACCACAATTCAGCCAACACTGACGGCCACCATCAGCAGCAGCAACAACACCAGCAGCAACAGCAGCAGCAGCAACAATACAGCTGCTGGTAAGTGGGGGCATGCGCCTATACTCTACTCTAAATTATTTAATATTAAACGTGCTTCTTTTTGCCCCCTTTACCAGGTGGTGAGGCACGGCGTCCACGTCATCGCAACAATGCCTCGCGCCATCAGGCGCTCTATAATATCTATGCTGAAATTGATTTGACCAATGAGCAGGAGTCAACTGGTGCTGCCGGTGCGTCGGGCATTAACGATATGCCGCCACGGCCTCCGCAACATTCGCAACCACAACAGCAAGCGCCGCCGCAACTGTTCCCCAGTGCCCAGGGTCCGACGAATGCAGCTGGCAGTGCTATACCGCCGTCGCATCCGCCACGTCATCCAACAGTATCTGCCCATCTGCCCTCCAGCGGGCGACCATCGCGTACACGTACACGCGCCGAAGTAGCTGAAATCCTGGAGTTTGGGGTGAGTTCAAAGATTACCATTGGCGTATTATAAATGCAAGGGCGAGTTGAATGAAAAGCCGATGTAGCCAAGAAAGTTTAGTTTAAGCGGGGTGTGCCCGCCTCTCCCCTTCCCCACCCCCAACCGACTTCTAATTTGTTCTAAATTGATTAATAATTGGCTGATTGATTGAATATTCTATTTTGCAGATGAACGAGCCACGCCAGAACTCGACGCGCCGCAACAACAATGCCAATGCAAACGCGAACTCATCGCGCACCGCCGGCGCTGGCCCGTTGAATGCACGACAATCGCTGCCCAATCGCGATTTGCCCGCCGCCCGCCTGCAACGTATATCGATACAGGCCGGACGCAGTAATTCCGGTGATACTGGCCCCAATGATGAGCAATGGCACGATTCGCCAGTTCGCATGCCTAGCGCTGATATGAATTTCCCGCTGCCGCCAACGCTGGATGTGGTGCCAGGCACGCTGAATTTTACCGATCCTCCACCGCCGCCGCCGCCAGAACAGCAGGAGCAACAGCAGCAGCAGCAGTCACAGCTGCCATCGAACGATCAAGAGGAAGGGGAGCAGCGGCCGGAGGAGTCGGACTCCGAGCAGGACTTGGTGCCAGATTTTTCTGGTGTTACAGATCCAACCACTCTCTTTGCACCGGCCCCGCCAGCGGTATCCATATCTGAGCTGGCCGCTCAGCTTATGGCCAATGACCAGCACGACGAGGCCCGGGAAATCTTGAGCACTGTACCTGAACCCTATCATCAGCTAAATCGCGCTACTCTATCCGCTGTGGCCGCAGCTGTGGTGGCTGCCGTTGAGGCAGATCCATTGCCAGATTTGCCCGATATGGAGCCGCCCGAATTGGATTTAGAGGTGCGTCCCCATGACCCGGTACCCGAAACAGATTCTAGTTCCGGCCTAGATTTCGGTGCCGCCGAAGAAGCGCCTGCCAACGATGTGGAGGCTAATAGCTTAGAAGATACTGCTCCGGCTGCTGCTGCTGATCCTGCTTCTGCTGCTCCTGCTGCTGCTGCTGCTGCTGCTGCTGCTACTGCTAGTGAAGCTGCACCAGCAGCTGGAGCAGGCGGCGCAACAGGAGGCTCCAGCACTGCAGCCAGTGCCGTTGTCACAGACATGAGTCCCGAGGTGCGTGCCGCATTGGGAGACCTAGAGGTGCCAGAGGGCGTTGATCCCTCATTCCTGGCCGCCTTACCCAGCGAGATGCGCGAGGAGGTTATACAGGAGCATTTGCGGATGCAGCGTATACGCCAGCGTGCCCAGCAGAATGCCATACAAATTGCGCACGATTCACTGGTCGAGGTTAATCCCGAATTTCTGGCCGCACTGCCGCCCAATATACAGTCGGAAGTGCTAATGCAGCAGCGCATCGAACAGCAACGTCAGGCGGCGCAGAGCGCCAATCCGGATGATCCTGTCGATACCGCCGCATTCTTTCAGAATCTGCCCGAAAATTTGCGTCAAGCTGTGAGTACATGTGCCCCAATAATGGCCTGGCATGACCTTCTTTTTAATCAAATTATGTTTGCAAAACACAGATACTAACCGACATGGAGGAGTCACAGATAGCCAGCCTGCCCCCGGAACTGGCTGCCGAGGCGCAGTTCTTGCGTCGCGACTGGGAATCGCGCAACGGCGCCCGCATGGATGCCCATCCACCCAGCAATGCGCTGTGTAAGTCTTTTCCCACCCTTGTGGGGGATACTATAATTTTGACATGATATGTGTAACGCATAGAAGGAGACATTTCCGATCCCCTAAAGAACATATGCTCTAGATTAGCATCAATAGCCAAGTCCCCATCTTCGCCTGTCTGTCTATTATGTATTTCTTGCTGCCCCAGCCAGTACATATATCGGAACCGTCCCTTAGTTTGGAGCGTAGATTGTAACCGGTTATCTTCGAGTCGGACACACCCGACTGATGTACTTGCTGTTTTTTTTGGTTGACCATTTTCTAATAGAAAATCCCTCGATTTGTTTGACAGCCCGCTTCCAGTCAACTCTGCAGAATCTGGATGAGGCGCGCTGGCATAGCGCCATTTGGTACGATGCCAGCGGCAATGCGCAGCCGCAACATCATCAGCACACGACAATTGTGCATCATCATCATATTGCGCCAAGCACTGGAAAGCCGCTCGCTCTGCTGATGATGGAGGATGAGAATATACTGCTGGATCCAGATTCGCTGGCCACGCTTTTGCTGTTCCTGTTTGTTGAGGATCAGAAGGTGAACAGCGTGCGTTTGCATCGCGTTATACGCAATCTATGCCATCATGAGCCGACGCGCGACTGGATAATTAAAGCCCTGATCAGCATCATACAGAAGACAAACGAGGATAATTCAAACTTTGGTGCGGCCAATTCGGGCAGCAAACCTGAATGGCTTAAGCTGCGCGTCGATGCCGCCTTTGGCTATAAGAGCAACATATTCCTAATCAATCGGATGTACGAGGGCAGCGCACGCAGCATTAGCATCAATCCGCAGGCAGCGCAAATGATAGTGCGCAATTGTCTTGATTTGCTCTTCGTCCTGGCCAAGCATTATCCATTCAGCTTCTTGCCCTACAATCGTGAGCCAAAAGCACGCGCTCGCATGCTCAGCGCCGTTTTTGGCATGCCCAATGCGAGCGCCTCGGCACGTCTCGATGATCCGGCAGCCGTAGCCAGTCTGGTGGCAGCTGGTAATGCCGCTGCTGCTGCTGCTGCTGCTGCCGCTGCTGCCGCCGGTGGTGCGAGTGGTGGTTCAGGTGGTGGCGTTGGCGGAGATTTGCGATCACGATATCATCGCTATCAAATGGCCAATCGGCTGCGCGGCATTTTGGATGAGCAGCAACAGCATCAACAGTTGCAACTACAGCTGCCCAAGGCGCAGCCACTGGACGAGGCGCCATCCACATCGAAAGCGGCTGCTGCCAAGGCAGCTGCCAGCGCCGTCAAGCCGAGCAGTAACAACAACAATAATAATAATAACAACAACAACAACAACAACAACATTGACGGCACCACTGTTGCCTATCAAACAAATGCGCACAACTTTTGGGATGTGGTGTTAAATATTGATCGTCAGACTCCGCTGCGTTTGGCCAATGTGGCACAGTTTCCATTAACCTCACAGCCGGCCTGGAAATGGCAGACCAATAATAGCGAATTTTTATCCTTTACCGATTCGCCGTTTGGCCAGCTGCTCGAGATGTTGCCGTACAAGGTTATCTGCCGTTCGCCGCATTTAACTGATATGTTGGTCAAACTGTTGGCCTCGCTGAGCGTTGATTTGCCCAAAGAGGAGGAGCAGCAGCAGCAACAACAACAACAGCAACAACAGCAGCAGCAGCAACAACAACAGCAGCAACAACAACAACAACAACAACCACCACCACCACCACAGCAGCAACAGCCGTTGCCACAGCAGGATGAGCAAATGCCAACACAGCAGCAACAACAACCACAACAACAGGATGAGCAAATGCCAACGCAACAGCAAGAGGATAGCCTGTTGCCGCCACTGGCGCCTCTTAGTCAATTCCATGAAGAGATGCGTGACGAAGGGAGTGCAGAGTTGGCAGCAAATGCCAGCAGAACAGCTCCGGAGAGGCCACAACAGCTGTTGGCGGCAGGTCGTCATCATGACTTTGACGACGATGAGGAGGAGGAGGATGATGAAGACGACGAGGATGACGATGACGACGAGGAGGAGGATGATGAAGACGATGAGGATGATGAGCTATCGCACTCGGGTGCAGTAGGCGGCGGAACAGTGCCAAAGCCAACACCATCAACACCATCGCAATCAAATAAGCCACGTCGCAAAATCTATGCCAAGAACTTCTCCCAATTGCAGTTGGTTATCGAGGTGCTAACACATCAGTGCGGCACCACCGAGGGCCTGGACAATGTTACCAAACTGATTGTGAATCTCACACAGTGCTCTCAGGCATCGAATGCCATATTCATACAGTACTTGACGGCAGCCATACTCGGCCTGGCCGAGGAGGTGCGTCAGGCCATACAGACGCTGCTCAACGAGATTCGCGCCTACAATACCCTTGGCCAACAGCAGTTGCAGCCAAAGCCGCAACAGCCGGACAATAAGCCCAGCAGCAGCGGCAGCGCCAGCGCCAGCAGCAGCAATAACATCAACAACATCAACAACAACAATAACAATAACAACAGCAGCAGCAGCAGCAGCGGTGGCGCCACTTTGCTAACCAATTTAACCGTCCATGAGGGCACTATGCAGGATCGGTTCACAGCTGAATCGGTCATCATATCGGCCCCAAAGAATGCCAAGCCCACCTGTGAACTGCAATTGCCCTCGATGAAGAAGCTAATGTCCAATTCATCGGCACAGCCTTATTTCCTGCGCACCCTTAAGATCTTCATGCAGGTGCGTGAAATGTACGAGCTGCAGAATAGTCAAAATGATGACAACAGCGAGGACATCATTGATATTATTGGCGATGCGGGCTCAACGGTTGGAGGCAGCGCATCTGCTTCCGGTGTCAGCAGCATGGATACCAACGACGCCGCATCAAATGTCAATAATAGCTCGAACAGTAGCGCTGGCAGTAGTGGCGCCGGTGCCGGCGGCGGCATTGGCGGCGGCTCAAAGAGCGCTGCTAAGCCAACGCTTAGTCAAATACTATGCCTGGACGTGCTGTGGCACACGTTGAGCGAGTGCCTGGTGGCCCTGGAGGAGTCCAAGGATGAGTTTGCTGTACTGGTTCTACAACCGACCGTTGAGGCCTTCTTCCTCATACACGCCTCACATCGGGTGACACCGAAGAAACCAGGACGTGGTGCCGCCGGTAGTGCAACAGTTGGCTCTGGTTTGCGCGTTGTCCCCCATCCAGTGGCATCCGAGATTAGTCCACAACTGGATGATACCAATAGCAGCAGCAACAGCAGCCAAGCCCAAAATTCAGCCAGTTTTGAGGGTACGTACAGAAATATTCAGCATAGAACGAAATTGAATTGTAATACAAAATTCTTTATTGACCCTTTTGTTTTGCAGATGAATCCCGCTTGCAGGATGGTTCCACAGGCGCTGCTGGTCAGCAGGTGGCGCTAACCGCACACGAGGCCCAACTTAAACAGGATCGCCAAAAGTTTTTACAATTCGCCGAGAAGCATCGCACAGTGCTTAATCAAATTCTACGTCAGTCGGCCACACATCTATCCGATGGCCCATTCGCCGTTTTGGTGGATCATACACGCATCCTGGACTTTGATGTGAAGCGCAAATACTTCCAGACCGAATTGGAGCGCCTCGACGAGGGTATACGCCGTGAGGAACATACTGTTAGTGTGCGACGTATTACCGTCTTTGAGGATTCATTCCGTGTCCTCTATCGTCTCGGTCCCGAGGAATGGAAGAATCGCTTCTACATTGTATTTGAGGGTGAGTGCGCGTTTGAATCTAATTAGATTTCCAATGTTATGGAAAATAATTGTTTTTTTTTTTTATTGCTTTTAGATGAGGAAGGCCAGGATGCTGGCGGCCTGCTACGTGAATGGTATGTGATAATATCGCGCGAAATCTTTAATCCCATGTATGCCTTGTTCTGCGTATCGCCGGGCGATCGCGTCACCTATATGATAAATCCATCAAGTCATGCAAATCCCAATCATCTGAGCTACTTCAAGTTTGTCGGTCGAGTCATTGGTAAGAATTAGAGTCCCAGTCCCAAATCCGGAGGTCCCACAAATTCGAACTTGTCTCCATTCTCTATTATAGCCAAGGCCGTGCATGATAATAAGCTGCTGGAGTGCTATTTTACACGCTCATTTTATAAACACATCCTGGGCAAACAGGTGAAGCATACTGATATGGAATCGCAGGATTATGAGTTCTATAAGGGCCTGGACTATCTTATGAAAAATGATATATCGACGCTTGGCTATGAGTTAACCTTCTCCACCGAGGTGCAAGAGTTTGGCGTCACACAAATCCGTGATCTCAAGCCAAATGGGCGCGACATTGCCGTCACCGAGGAGAATAAATTTGAATATGTTCAACTTGTTTGCCAGCTAAAGATGAGCGGCTCCATACGTCAGCAGTGAGTAGTGGAATCAATTAAATTTTATATATATAGAAAACATATAATTGTAACTAATGCCTTTCATATTGTTAACTATTGCAGATTGGACGCATTCCTTGAAGGCTTCTATGATATAATTCCAAAGCATTTAATATCCATATTTAACGAACAGGAATTAGAGCTTCTCATATCCGGCTTGCCGGATATTGATATTGAAGATCTAAAGGCAAACACCGAGTACCACAAGTACACATCAAAATCGGCACAGGTGCGTGTCTATATAACAAATAAATCTATTAACTATTTGTATGTGTAATATATATGATAAATTTGTGCTTTTTACAGATTCAATGGTTTTGGCGCGCGTTGCGCAGCTTCGATCAGGCGGATCGTGCTAAATTCCTACAGTTTGTCACTGGCACCTCGAAGGTACCGTTGCAGGGCTTCGGCTCCCTGGAGGGCATGAATGGCATACAAAAGTTCCAAATACATCGCGATGATCGTTCCACGGATCGTTTGCCTTGCGCACATACCTGGTAATTACTTAGCTACAATTTGAAACATTTCTATTTAAATATTAACTAAATTCAACATACTTTGTCTGCAGCTTTAATCAACTGGATCTGCCCATGTACAAGTCGTATGATAAGTTGCGCAGCTGTTTGCTCAAGGCCATACACGAGTGCTCCGAGGGCTTTGGCTTTGCCTAAGCTGTGCCGTCCGAACACACCCAACAAAAATAACAACAACAACAACTAAAATAAGAATAACCAACAGCTACAGCAACACACACAAAGACACACACACACACCACACACACACACCACACACACACACCACACACACACACCACACACACACACCACACACACACCACACACACACCACACAATTTCAAGAATTCCTACAACAAAAACAGCGAAGAAAAATAATTAGAACAGCCACAGCAAATGTGCGATAGCAACAACAGCGACAACAACATATACATATAGTACATATAGTTATATAGTATATATAAAGAAAACATGTTGAATTAATTATTAATTTTCGCGCGTATATTATATACAATACATATATATCTATATATATATATACATGCATATATATGTATATATATATATTTGCATATATATATATTTTCATAAATTTTCAAAAAGAGGAAGGGAAAAACCGAAGATTAACAGTAAAAATAACAAGATAAAAAAGAAAGAACAACCACGCAAAGAGCACACAAAGAATAACATCATTTATCATATGGGGGAAAAAAAAGTATATCAGTCAACATCAATATATTCAAAGCTGTTTTCTTAATTTTATAATTTTTTTTGCAACCCTATTTTTGAAAAAGTAATAATAACACGAAAAAATAACTAATATATTTTTATTTACTTAAGTCGAGCATATCCCCACATGGATATGTGTGAAACAAAGCAAACGCAAAATATGCTGATTACGCTTTGATTCTTGTTTATATAAATATTTAAAAACAAAACAAAAACAAAAACTAAAATGCACGAGAAAAAAAGGAAAGGAAGAAATGAAGGCATAGGTATTTGATATAACTATAAGTCTATGTTATGCATTTTATGTTTATCTTTTTAATGAGTAAATGTAACTTTAGTAAAAGAGAAAGAGAGGGCGAGAGATGAATAAACCCATTGGCGATATATAGATATACTTATATATATATATATATATTTATGAATATACATATTTATATATGTATATACATATATATATATATAATATCGTCAATAAGTTTGCTCATCTAAGATGATATATATATATATACATACATTAAAATAAAACTAAAGAGCATACAAACCGTTTGCACACTTCGGTCGGGTTGAAAAATGTTCGAATTCAAAAGCCAGTGCTGCCCAACTGTTTATGGTTAATAGCCCGCCTTATCTAGTGGCAGCTCTGCGCAGACTCATTCAGATAACAGAGCTGCTCGTTAACAGAGCCTGTTTATCGATAACACTTCATTCAAATGCATTTATCAAAAATAATATTAAACAGGGTACAGCATGAAAAATGAAATAACATGTAAATACTATTAAATTAGAGAACCAAAGAAGCTGGAAATAAGCCAACGATGGATGCGTACATACGAAATGAGCTGAGTGTAGACAGCGAATTAACGCTGGATCAAGCTGCAACACATTCCGCCAAGCTGATCGCTTGGCTACTGGATTGCCAAGATCAGATGCAATTGGGGCAGCCAAAGTATCTTGAATTGACCCACACGGATATCGAGTGCATGTTCAAGGCCACGTTGTACCTGCATGAATGTCATGCACGGGATGGCGATGAGCTTGTGGAAGCTGTACTGCTGCAGTGCCCTCAGGCGCATGCCGCTATAAGAGGCTACTACGACAAGTGTGAAACGGATCGGGAACAGTGCATCAAGGAGCTGTGCATCAACATTGTAAACGGCACGCATAACGGTCATGCGCATGCGCCACTTTTATATCACATGCACAAGACGTATGCCGAAGTGCAGCCCGCTTGGGGCATCATCAAGGATCTGGATTGGTCAGCCATGGCCCAGAAGAAGGCCAACAGTACGCTGGACGCGGCAACAGCAGCAGCAGCAGTCGAAATGAACGTCAATGTGCTGCAAATGCGTCAATTGGTGCGACGCATCTTTCGCCTGGCCACAGTGGACGACATCAAAATTGCTCTCAAACGCGCCATGCGGCTCATCAGCTGCGAACTGTGGCTGCAGCTGTTTCGGGAGCCCAAGGAGAGCATCTTGTACACACGCTGCTATGTGCTGCGCCAAATGATCTGTGATATGCTGGCGGAGGGCACAGCATGCCCGGCCAGCGCCTGCTTTGTGCAAAACATTTACCACTTCGTTGCCAACGGCAGCAGCAGCTGCAATGTTTCGCGCCTGTTCTGCTGGCTAATGCATGCCCGCTTCGCTGGCGCCTTGGGCAGCTATTTGTTTGGCTATTGGCAGCAGCAGTTGCCGCATCTGCGCTTGGATGATGTACAGTGCACAGGTGACGCGCCCATGGCAGCGCTGCCGCTGGACGAGATGCTCTATTTGACACATTTGCTGCTCACAACCAAATCGCCGTGTCGCAGTCAGTTCTATGGCGAGCTTCAGGCGCTGCCGCAGCTTGGTCGGCTGCGGGAACTGCTCAATAAAGTGGCCTACGTTTATAGCTAATAACATGGGTTTTAATTGCTTGGCAAATATTCATGTTTATCACTGACAATTTTCACAACTTGTTCCCCCTTTTCGGCCAATATTTCCTCAATGTTGCGCTTGCCATTCAGATCCGTGAACCAATTTAAATTGTCGGCAATTAGATGATGATTGGCACAGCCTTTGCATGTAACAATAACAACGCCCCGGTTGTAGGCCACCTTCGATATGGTCTCCATGTTCCTGCTCTGGCACACCTTGCACGTATAGATGAGCTGCATTTTGGTCTGCAGCTCCGCCAAGGGTATGCTCTTGCTGGCCACCCGATGGCTTTCATCCTGCTGCAATAGACAGTAAGTATATTACAATGTTCTTCAACTGTTGCATCCACTGCCACTTACCGCTTCCGCTTCGAGCTTGTCGCTGAAGGTTGCGCGCTGCAGGCACGTGTATTTGTTGTTTGGCAATGCTGATATGGCCAGTAAATGGTATTGACGCTGGCCATGATTGTGTGCACGGTATAGGGCGCGTGTGACGGGAGCTATGGTGCGTCTGCCATATAGTTTGTACATTAATTTGAAGGCGCTCATTGTGCTTATGATTGTATAAACAATAAATATGAAACGGACAATATTACGCTAAATATATCGATAAAATTGTGCGTTAGTGAGCACTGATCGATGATTTCAGTGCTCAGAGATTTTAGAAGATTTCGTCAAGCATATGCATGTGCCTAACAACTAGTATTACAAATGTGCCATAAAGTTTTTTATATTATTCATATACCTGTTTAATCATAATATAATTTGACTAAAATATATTTGTATATAAATTAAATACGTTAATGGCATAGAAACGTGAAAAATTTTAAATAGCTTGCTCTAAAAAGTTGTTTTGATCGTGCTATAAACAAAGTTTTCAATTTAAAATTTTGCCATAAAAAACGTAATTTTCAAGTTTGTGACGAAATACGGCCAGCTAAACGATAACCGTGTATCGTATCGCCCGATAACCTGCACGCTGTTAGTCAACTCTGGAACGCCTAACACACGAACAGATTGTTAGTGTTTAGTAACACTTTTCGAACAGCACAGAAATTGTTGAAATTGTTAGCAAAACAAATTATATAAATCTTGAACAAAAAAAAAATGGCAACACGTGTTGTGGCAACAGCAACGGTACGCGCTGTCACGGGACGAAAATTAATAGCAACGCGGGCCGCACTAACGCTGGTAAGTGCCACAAAACTCTCTGATGAAATATGCGCAGATGACAGAGACGTTTCTCTGATGAAGTAACAGCCAAACGGGCAGCATTGCAGCTCGCTTATCAATATTGTTATTTAGCCTCTGCTTTTCCTTCTAGACGCCCGCTGCGGTGCAACGCATCAAGTCGCTGCTCCAGGATAAACCAGAGGTGGTAGGTCGCCTAACCAGGCGTATTAACAACAAAGTCTATATGCTTGAATTTGTCTCCACAGATCGGTCTCAAGGTCGGTGTGCGCCAGCGCGGCTGCAACGGACTCTCCTATACACTGGACTATGCCAGCACCAAAGGTTCGTCTACATAAATATATATATATACATATCTATTTGGGTACAGTTTGTAAATGTTATTGATATTTTGTTTGGTCAGATAAACTGGATGAGGAGGTAGTGCAGGATGGCGTCAAGGTCTTTATAGATAAGAAGGCGCAACTGTCTTTGCTAGGTAATGTCAGATGCCGCATTCTGCATTATATAATGCCTCATCATATAATCAAACGTTTTATCTCGTTTTTGTTTTTGGTGTTCATTCTAACAAAAGGCACCGAAATGGACTTTGTGGAATCCAAATTGACCAGCGAGTTTGTGTTCAACAATCCGAACATTAAGGGCACCTGTGGTTGCGGCGAATCCTTCAGCATGTAAAGCGTTTGTGGAGGGGGAGGGGTAGGCCAGCGGCATGCTCTCTCTACAGAACCGGACCCGCCTCGCAAAAACCTAAATTATCTAAGTTTATATAGAGATATTACAGCTTGTGTTATGTATATTTCTTTTCAAATGCAATTGTTATTTTGCTAACGCTCGTTGCGAAAGCATCTACTCAATTGTCTCGATACGTTTCTAGAATCTACCACATAAGGTGCTCCACAACAAAAACGAAAGCAAGATTATTATGAAAATATATGCATAAGATTGTTTTCTATAGTTACATATTAATCGTAAGCGCGCGGCAAATGAGCCCAATTGACACTGTTCTTAGGTTATCCTTCAAATAACATATACGTATGTACATTAGCATGTATGTAGTTCAAATTATAAACAAATAGAATACAAAACGATAATTGTTTACTAACAAATCTATTCTTATCGCTTGATAATAAAGAGCGACAGTTGTGGGATCGAGCAGCTCGATGTGGACAAGATTGAAGGCATCTTGAAGAGCAAACCAATCGTTGCTTTAGAAGCTGTAATACATAATGGTACGATTGTTTTCTATAAACATGCTTATTTGTTTAGCATACTTTTCAGTATATTAACTCTGTTTTCAACAGGATTATGGATCGTCTGGAACAGGAGGGTTTCATCTCATGCTGGGCATACACTCTACCGGAGATCCTGACTGAATAAAAATACTCTAGGCAAGGGTATGCGAAAGGAGGGAATGCTTCTGGCTTCGAGGATGCGATAGCTTTCGATGCCTAAGCTCTGACGTTCCATGATTAAAGAGACGACCGCGCCAAGCCCAAGAGCTGCTCTGGAGATATCTGAAAGGCAGGCCGACGCACAGAAGTCCAGTTCCAAAACAATCTGCGTTCATTCCCAGCTACCAAATATAATAAAAACAGGTCACAGTTTCCATGTAATACATGAAATGCGGCATTTAAGGATCTACATGCGACATTCATGGTTTATTTAATGGCGGCACACACACACACAGACGCACACTCGCACACACAGCAGGCATACATAAAAATTAGCTATAGAAATAATTTATAAACCTAATCAATGGGCATAATATGCATAATATTTAGCGCTGCGGCAGGCCGTGTATGCCAAACTCTTCGTAATCATCTCGCGTATAGATGAACTCATCAAAGTTGGGACTGGTGGCCACTTCCCGGCCGCCGTACCAGGCATAACGCACCGGATCCTCGGGACAGATGAGCGATACCTCCAAATCATCTGGCACCAGGGCGCGCAGATCGCGCTTGAGGCGCGGCAGGAAGCCGGGAAACTGTGAACTGCCGCCAACAATGAGAATGTTGAGCAAGAGTTCGCGATGCGCCTCCCAGGGACACGCCTGCAGGGCATCAGCAACAGCCTCCGGTATGCCCACCTGCTGAATACCGATGTCCGATGGATTGAAGAGCACCTCCGGCACAGTGAAACGTTCATTGCACAGCGGCACCATTTGCTGTTGTTCCTCATCCTCGCGTGGCTGGCCGGGCACACGTATATAGCCACGTTTGACTGTCGTAAAGTCGGGCAGGACATATTCCACGGCGATTTCCTTTCGCCGTTTCTCGCTATGATGCACGCTCATCGCATCCTTAAAGTCTTCGGCTACAAAGCAAACGTCCTCCTTGATTTGATTCACCACATGGCTCTCATCCATGACGTTCAGATGCCGGTAGGAGATGAGCTCCTTGAGATGATTCGTTAACGCTTTGCCGCCCACATCAATGCGCCGGATGGCTTCCAGGACACGCCGGCCCAGCACAAACGGCACAATATGCGTGAAGCTGTAGCCGACATCGATAATGATGCAGTTGAGAGTTTGCATTGTGGTGCGCTCCTCGCTGTCCGCCACATAGTTGAATGCAGCCAGATCGGCGGCCGTCGCCTTGTACATGCCCGCCACGCGATACTCCTCGAAGAGCATCTCGAGCATTGCCTCCTGCACGCTCTGGAAGTTCATTTGCGGTTCGGTAATGACAATATTGCGATTCTCCAGTGTGCAGCCAATGCCCTCCTTGCTGAATATATAATCCCAGACCGTTTTTTGAGTGTCCCAGTTCAGCAGATAACCACGTTGAAAGGCCAGGATGTAAAATAACGCCGAGGTATCGCGGCATTCTTCGATTTGGTTGCCCACAAAAGCGCGGCGTCTCTCGCTTTTTGCCTTCATTATGCAATTGGGCACCACCTGCGGCTCATCCTGTGTTGCGAGTCCCACTTTGGCTGTGTACGCACCATTGTCCAGCACAACCACAGCCATGTCGGCCTGTTTATCAACTTTTTGACAAATGTGCGGCCCACCCGGCAATGTCAACAACGCAAACGCAATATCAGCAACGCCAAAGTGAGTTAACAGCTGCGCATGATGTCAACTGTAATGTAAACGCAGAAATGAGCGCTCTGTTAAAAGTAACATACTGTTAGCAGATGGCTGTCAGTCTTTGGCCAGTACGCTGAGCAGCACATTGCGCGCGCATTAACAGAGAGTGCATGATCTTGTATTGTGCTGCAGCATAGTTTGGGTGTGTAGTATTATGTTATTTTATTCAATTTAATTATTAGAACGTTAATCTGAAAACGTTTTATCCATTACAGTTTTAACTTATTTTCTATTTTATTATTTTTCAATTGTAAAATGTTTGAACAAATTTGCTTAGCTTGCATGATCTGTGTGCAGCATACTAGCTTATAACATATCACTTTAGTAACAGACAGGCTAGCAGGTAATCGTTACAGTGAGCTAACAGAAGCAGCCGCTGCTAAGTGTGCAAAACGAAATGAAGATAAAAAGATCCCATTTTTTTACGTTACGCGGTGTGCGGCGGCCAGGCGGCGCTTGTTTGCGCTTGTTCAACTTCTTTTTTTTTTAAAGCATTTCGTAGCATTAACGTCTCGATGCGAATAAATGTGTGCAGTGTGGTGTAAGTGCAATGATTGCCTATATAGCTGTGAATTTGTTTTAAAAATGCGCCAAATGCAAACAACAGCTACAACAGTACAAACACAACAACAACGACATCAAAGAAACGCAAGTGCGTGCTGCACAACAACAACAACAACAATAACACGCATCTAGTGCCAAAATTAGCCGGCACAGTCAGCGCACTTGTTTGAGTTCTCTGCCTGCTTATCGCTTCCGCCAAAAACAAAAACGAACAATTTAAAAAGGAAACCAAATCAAACGAAACGAAACAACAGTCGAAGAGGAAGCAGCAGCAGCAGCTGCAACAATTGTGCGTACGAACAGCAACAACAAGATGTACACATGACAACAGCGCCATTAAGCATCAGCGTCCTATATGTACATATGCGTGTATGTATGTATGTATGTAATTTCAATTTGCCATACGCCTGAAACATGCGTAGACCGTCCGCGTTGAGTCGCAATCATTATTTTGTGATCGGGCTGCTGCTGGGCCTGGTGCTCAGCTGCTATATACCGCAGGACATTTGGGAGCTGGTGCAGCAGGAGGAATGCCCGCAGGAGGTTGCCGAAAATTTGCTCATCGAACGCTTTGGCCAGGACTTTGAGCCGCATTTGAATTTGATTAATAAGCCGCTGGCGGCCAAAAAGCCGGTAAGTCCTAACAAATCAACATCCATTTCAATCGCATTCAATTGCTCGCCCGCCCTTGCGCTCTCTTTCTCTCTTGCTCGCAATATCGAAACGTTTTTCTGCACGTGGTCCACGCGCCAATCAGAGCGTGGCAAGCGTAGAGAGCAGTATCCAATTCGAGTCCTAAATAGAGTTGAGCGCGTGTCGTTTTTTCTTTCGTGACACGAACGCGACGCGCCCTCGTTAACAAATCAAATTTCGTGCTACCGCAGAAATTTGAGTAATATACAAAATATCAAATAATGTAAATGTTAAATCAATATCGAGTAAAGAAGCCATATTTTGTTATTAATTAACTTTTAAGTCGACTAACAAAATATTGGAATGTGCTGGTCCTGCCTTTTGCAGCGTGCGTCTTTCCGAAATGTTGCTCGGGTTCCTGTTGGGTAAATCGACACGTGTTTTATGTATGTATATATGTAAATATGTAAATGCGAGCGCATATGCGCGATAGCGTTTGTGTGTGTGTGTAATTGTGCACATGGCTCATTATATCAAGCAATTTATTGACCTTCTTGCTTATCGCATTCGCTTTCGTACTTCGCCTACCACCTCATTTCAGGCAGAAAACACACAAACACATGCGTACATATATGTACGTATATGTATATTGCCGATGCATGTGTGTATGTGTGTATGCGTCAACAACGTCAGCGCAGACGTCACTTTTCAATATTTCGGCTTCAATTGCCGTTATCACCGCCTACGTTAATGCGGCATTCACTGTGCAAAGACAAGATCAACAACTTTTAAAAGCCAGCAACCACTTTGCAGTCGCTTAGTTTAAATTTGGAAAAACCCATTTCTCTTACAATTAACACCCGGCGTGCAGCAGCAGCAGCAGCAGCAGCAGCAGTAGCGGCAGCGGCAGCAGAAGCCATGCAACAGTTTGACAGCCACTGTAACCAGTTTAATTATAATGCGCTGTTAAATTAACAGTGTTAATGCATTAATTTCTACCTCGCTCTCTCTCGCTCTCTCTCCCTTGTGATACACGATAAGAGTTACATTTTTTTGGCAATTACAGTGAGCGCCAATTTCAGCATTGCTTGCAAAAATTGATCATGAAAAAAAAAATAGTAATAAAAAAATAAAAAAGAACATGCGATCGACAAAAATTCCACTGGCGCGCGAATAAATTACATTTAAATAAATAAACGCATTTCACTTATAAACCAGAGCCGAGTAAATAACCGATGCCTGATACATGCATCATGCCATAACAACATACATACATACACACATATGCATGAACATGTGTACGATTGTACTAACATATATATATGTATATATATATATATATAAATATGTGTACTTTTACCGGCATAAATCGAACGCTGCAAAATTTATTGAATTAAAGGCGCGAGCAATTTGGGAAAACCAACAAAAATCGATTAAAAATTGCTATGCTCTAGAAAGTACATTAAATATGCTATGTAGCATGTAACCAGTGTTGTCAAGTGCATAAACAGGGTTGCTTTTACGTGTTGTTAATAAGAAAAGCTAAACTAGTGTCACAATTTCAATGTTTCCGGGGCTAATGAACTTTGGAAATAGCCAACATTTAGCTGGAAAATAGTGAAAAATAGCTGTAATACAGCGTGTTACATATTTAACTCTATTATGCTTGCATATACATATACATACATGCATACATATACCAATTGCAGGCTTACCTTTAAGTGGAAGCGCGCGGAATCGGAACAAACATAATATAGCAAATTTCCTTATTAGAAATATTCCAAGCCAATTTCGTATTAAGATCAGGTAAACATTTCCAAAATATACATATGTACTATATAAGGGTATTTGAACTGCGGTCTGCTTAACATTTCGAGTAATTTATTATATTCTTTCGCGCCATACAATTTTTGACTTTTTGTTTGCGAGCCGTTTTTTTTCTCTCTTTATATCTATTATTTTTATTTGGTTAACAATGCAAACGTTTGCGTTTTAATTAAGCAACCAACGTGAAAAAAGTAGAAAAAAAAAATATGCATGAACTTGATAAAAACAAAAAAAAAGAAAATGTTGGCACGTTTATTTTGTTTTTGGAAAATCAATCATCGATAATTATGACTGAAACAATAATGCGCAATTAGTTGCAAAGATTTCTGGCACTTTTAATAAATACGATAAACAATTAAGTTGCCATATCTTTCAAATCTATTAGTTTATTTGCCGCAGATGGTTTTATTCGTTCGTTAAATGCATTTAATTTGATATATCATTAATACCGATTAGGAACACTCAAATACTTTTCACTTTATAAACGTTAACAGTGCATGTTAAAAGTTGAAAGTATATGTTAAAGGAACAAGTGGAATTGGAACAACTCTTGGCATTCACTGTAATTCTTAATTTAATGTAAATATTGTGTGGATTTCGGTCAGATTTCATGCAAAAAACAGTTGAATATCAAAATAAGTCACGCTTAGATTACTTTCAGAAATGCGAATTACAACAAAATTCAAGAAAACCTCGAGAGTCACAAAAGTTCAATCCAAAGGCAGAACTTAGTTGCGCCTTTGGCTTTCCCCCAACCAATTTTTCTTTCTCTTTACGCTCAGGCTCTATTTATTTTTATTCCCATGCCTTATTTAATATATGCTTCACAAACAATCAACTTTAATAGTTGCTACAATGGAATGGCACGAACATTTGCCTATACAGTGTTGTATAACATGAAAGTTGTTCAGTGCGTTTAGACAATCTTAAAGCTCAACAATTTTTTGTCTTTCGAATTTAACGATGATTTGCGTTTCATGTGCTCACAAATAATGTTTATTATTTCGACTTAATGGGCCAGTGCTTGTCTCTGTCTGCCTGTGTGTGTGTGTGTGTGTGTGTGTGTGTGTGGGCTTATTATTATTATTTTTGTTTAATGTGCGTAAGTTACTTAGTGGATGACACGAGCGAAAGATAATATTTAAAACTTGTTCGTACAAAAAAAAATAAAACAAAAACAAAAAAAAGAGAAGAAACTTGAGCAAAAAAGTCGTTTTCCATTCACTTAATACAAGTAAATGACAATAACTCAAGTTTACTTAACACCATGTTGTTGTTGTTGTTGTTGCTCAAGCAAACATATAGCATAAGGTATGAACAGGTACATATGTACATATGTGTGTGTGCGTGTGTGTGTGTGTGTGTGTGTGTGTGTGTACACTGACTAAGTGCCAAAAGCGAAAGAGAAACAAAAGTGAAATCACATTTGTAGTTGAATGCGCACTTTGAACCTTTGACCCGTCATGTTTCAACAAAAGCATCTTTCATGAACAACCGATTATCTCACACGTTTTTATACCCTGAACCCATTCAAAATGGGTAAAAAGGGTATATTGTATTTGTGCTAAATCCAAATGTATGTAACAGGCAAAACGAAGCATCTCCGACCCCATAAAGTATATATATTCTTGATCAGCATCAATAGTCAAGTCGATCTAGCCATGTCCGTCCGTCTGTCCTTCCGTCCGTCTGTCCGTATGTATGAACGCAAGGATCTCAGAGCCTATAAGAGCTAGAGACTTTAGATGTAGGTCCTCCTAGTGCCTGCGTAGATCGAGTTTGTTTCCGATAATCGATAACTTGCCCCGTTTTTAAGTAATCGATAAAAATCTATATCGATATCCTGTTTTTTGGGCAATTTTTATAAATAATACGAGCTAGAGTAACCAAACTTGACATATAGCTTCTATATATATTTGCACTTGGTACGCCTGGTCGGGAGTTCCCGACTAGAACCTCTTACTTGTTTGTTTTCCTAGCTGCCGCTTAATCGGGCATAGGCACTTTTGTAATGTTTCGATTTTATTCGCTTTTTATACAACTCCATTTCGAGGTTTTAAATACGATATGGAGTATTTTCGTGTGGAAAGAGTTTTCTGTTTGCCAAAAGATGAATTAACTTTAGAAAACGAGAATGTAAGGATATCTTAAATTATTTCGTTTAATAATTAGTTAAATAGTTTGATGAAACTATCTAGCTGAACCCGATATTTTGCCATACAAAAACTCACTTTTCTGTCGACGCTTCCAACATATGACTATATAAAATATAGTAGACTGATATTGATTAGGTTTGGGTCATAGTTTGGTCAAGATATCTTGTTAAACAAAAGAGTTATACGCACAAGAACTTAAATTTCGACCGCTTCAACCGATGGCAGCCATATGATATAGTGCTCCGATGTGGTTAAGATTTGGTATATATATATATATATATGCATATGGGGAGCATAATGAAAAGAATAAAGACCTAGTTTGGTCGCGATAACTTGATAGACAAACAAGTTTTCCATACATGAACCTACTTATCGACGGATCGTTCCTGTGGCAGCTTTATGATATAGTGCTTCGATCCGTTTGGTATCAAAATATGTACTGTCTGCAACAGAAAGACGGACTTGCGCAAAGTTTCAAACGGAGAGATAGAAAGAGACAGACGGAGATGGGCTAAGGCTATATACTCTATGGCGATGGAAATGTCACCTTCTATGCGTTACACATTTCATGACAAAACTCTAATACCCTCTACCCTTGTAGAGGGTATAAGCCTTGTGAAAAGAGCGCTCTCTTAAGAATAGAGGATTCCCTCTATTCTCAGGGAAAATGTATTCTTAATAAATTCGTGTAACACATTTTTTATCGCTATACAAGGTATATATACATATGATATATATGCATATGCCAAAAACTAGATCCCTTCTGATCTGTGTATACTATCCTTTAAGTACATATAGGGTATATATAGGGCATCAATGCTGTTTAGACAAACTGACTGTTTGATCAAACTAGTTGCCTATGCAGGCACTTTTATGTTAAAATTGAAAAAAAAAAAATAAATAAAATAATATAAAAAATTGAAATAAATTAGTTAAATTTCGGTATACACGAGAATTTTTGATTCCTTTTCTCTCCCCTTCGTTGGTTTATCCTCGACATTTTGTTGCTTCGATATG